ACACTTAAAACATTGTTTTTTGCTTTTGTAGAATTTATTGAAATAATTTCGTTAATATTTGCTTTAATGTCATAGAAAAGTTTCTCAACTTGTTCAGAGTTATTATTTTCATTAGGATCTATGCATAAAATTTCTACTTGTATATCTTGGAATTTTTGAAAATATTCTTCGAGACCTTGTTGCCTGGCAATTAATTGTTGAGAAAAGTTTTCATTATATTCAGTATCTTTGTGACTTTCGATAAATCTTTGAATTCTTAATATTGAATCATTACATTGTTTACTTTTTTCTTTTAATTTTTTAAGCTCTGCCTTTTTTGACATTTTTCTGTCTATTTATTGCAAAAAACAATATCACAAAAGTTAATTTATAGCTAGCCTACTTAATTTAAATTTTACTTAACCAAAACTAAGCCTTATTGAATATAAAAGTACATAAACAAGCTTTGTTGATACATATCTGTAATTTATTTTGACGTCTCTGCTGGAGCCATCTATCGGAGACAGCGCGAACACTCAACGCTGTGAAGAATCTGCATTTTCCATTGTTGCCATCCTTCTAACATGTGCGCTGTCACTTTAATTTCAGAAGCCCCGCCTTGTCGGAATTTTTGCGGGAAACTCGCAGCAACAGAATGGTTTTTGGTTGACAAGTCACCTGGCAACGTTGCACTTATGGAATCCAATGCCAAGAGAGAGATAGCGATGTCTGGCGCGGCGGTTTTTTTGAGTTCAACCTTGATTGTTTTTTGATTGTTACCGGCACTTTTGCTTTTACACCCTAGTTTTTTTTAACGTAGAACTGTTTCTGCTTGTAACTTTTTTACATTCACTTTATAAAGTCACTCTTTTTCCACTAATTTTCAATTGTTTGTATAATTTTTCACTGTTCATCCGGCTCGAAGGACCAAAAAGAATGTAGCAAACTTACCATTCTTTCTTCGAAAGCTTATTAAAAGTGGACTGTATTAAAACGTTGTTTAATGTTCTATACATGTATTTTCGCATCACTTGTACATACATATGTCCATAATACACCTTTAACATTAAACACTTTAATTTCTTATTAACTAAATGCACTATACTAACTAGATTTAAACTAATAAATTAACTAATGAAGAAATAAGATGACAAGAAGTCAGAGCTTAGTGATATCCGAGGATAGAGCACAATTTATTGTAAAGTTTTTAAATTAGCTGTCCCTTTTAGTACATGTCACCTCAAGGTCCAGTTTATAACTAATTGCACGCAGCACGCTTTAAGATAGGCGGGAAGAAGTTTTAACAATATAACGCCCTCTGGACTCGCGCTTAAAAGGTTTATATTTAAATTGTGGTTCTGTTGGAATACGTTTCCAACACTACTATACAACACTTACTCAACCAAAAAGGGCCCCGTTTTATAAAACAGTTTACTTCGTTAGCAGTTATATAAATACACTACACAACCCTTATAAAACTCAGTATCAGTATACTGGGGAACTGCTATACGATTATACTATAGCGGTTTTACTCTGCAGCTTAATTGCACTTTACGAATATTTATAGAATATTAAAACAAGCATTTTATAAGTATGTTATAATGCGACAGAATCGTTATAAGAACATCAATTTGTTTCCTTCTCTAGAAATTAGGAATGGAGTGGGAAATTTTTATCCTAAGACTATTTTATAATGCGAATTATGTTGGATGTCAAACGGCTAAGATCCAAAATGGTGCTTGTTGTTTATTATGTAAATATAATTATTAAACCTTTGAGATTTACGCTATCGAGGACAACATCTTCCTGCGGAGCAATCTTTTCTGACAATATATGTATATATTTTTAACGAAAAATTAAAGCGCCAGTTAACAAACATACCTACTAAAAATTATTTAAAAAAAAAAAATTAATTTTTTATTTGTCAAAGTTTCATGTTTTTTAAGAATATTATTGTTTTATTTGTTCAGTTTATAATTGACTAGTCTTAAGATTACATTAATTTTTTTCAAGAAAATTCATTTTTAATTGACAGTTTTAACGTTTGTTGGTAAAATTCACACAATGGCGGCGATTTATAAACAATTGATCGGTCAATAAATATAGCGTTTTTGTTATAAAATGGTTTTGTCTTTATAAAAACGTTATACAATTTATCTGCTCTGTCGCGTGCGTTATACGATATTTAGGTTCTGTAAAGTTGTTTAATACAGGCGCTATAAAAGTAAAGCAAGAAACTGACATTTGAGATGTTGCCAGATTTTATCTGTATTTTTCAAATTATTTGTTTTTTTTAGAATAAAATACTCATTTTTGGTGCAGTTAGGTACATCAAGTAAAATTTTATTTATCCTGCACGACGTTACCTTCATTTTTTATGCAAATAAGGATTTGTAGGTAACACTGCTGCCTAAAATAACAACCCTGTAAGTTCATTTTTCGTATTGGCTATAACGCCTTTGCCTACTGCGCAATAGAACAATAATATCGCTTAAGGTATGCATTGTACCGCACTATACAATTGACCTAACCTATCGATTGTAAAAGAATTTGGAGTTGGTGCCTCAACTAAATGTTGAATAGAATTTTCTATTGCGGCAGTACTTCCAGAAGACTGAATCATTCTCTGATAATTTTTTTTTGCTCTTCTTTTAAAATGCCCACTTTTTTTAATTTATTTCCATTGCGACTCCATTTTAAAAAAAATACTTAACTTATTTTGGCGTAATAAGACACTAAATGTATAAACAGACTTAAGTAATAAAATTATAACGCAGAACTTGCGATAATTTTATTTTATAAACTTTCTATAAAGAAGTTAATCGGTGTAGTTATATTATAATTATAAAATAACTTTATACTTATTGTGTAGTGCGTTTACTTCTGCTTAAAAAAACAATTTTTTAATGTATCTTATAGAGCTTCAATACAACTTTTATACAAATTCTATTACAACTATCATAAAACGTTGAAACTACAAGTATAAGAATAGGTATACAACTCTATTATAACTTTTATACAACTCTTTTAAAATAATTTTATAAGGGATTGTATAAAACGTTATACAATGGTTAAAAAATGTGTATGAGTTTGGTTCTATAACACGAGTTGTAAGAATATATATACAATAATGTATTAGAATTTCGTCGTTTTTACGATAAAATTATTGTATTAAGACGCATTAAACAATAAAAATGTTCTTTTTGCAGCTCTAGACGATAGTTATAAAACAATTCAGTTCTTTAAGGGATTTATTTTGCTAGTTGGGAGTTAACGTTATTTTTGAACACCGAGAGTCTATGGTTGAATGCATGGAAGACATAGAAAATTCATTTAGTAACCAAACTGTTTGTAGTGCAGCTTCTTCAATAAGAAGGATGCTGCAAGATCCAAAGTTTATTTTTTGGCTAACATTTTTTCACCGTGTCATGCCACATGCCGATATTTTGTTCAATGACTTACAAAAAAGAAAAATTGATCCTGTAGAAATTAACCAAAAAATACAAGTTTTTGAGCAGAGCATTATGACAGTAAGAAATTCAATAGAAGAAATTATTAACGAAGCCAATAACTTAATATTTTCGGTTGATTGTGAAGCAATGCCTTCTAAAAGAAAAAGAAACAATGACAGTCAGTTTGATCACCGTATTGCTGCGTTAGAAGTTTGTGATATAATTATTAACTGCGCTAAGGATAGATTTGATTACAAAAATCATTTGTTGGCAGCCTCATTGTTTTATTCCGACCAGTTTGCTAACTACGTTAATTGTTTTCCTGATGAAAAATTAAAAGCAATTTGCGAGTCGTACCCTAACATTGATCAGGAACGTTTAAAAACAGAACTATCAGTGATATACTCCAGATCAGACTGCAGGAACCTGAAGGGGGCAATACCTTTTTTAAAATTACTCATTGAAAATAATTTAACAAATTCACTTCAAGAAACCAAAAAGCTCTTGGAAATACTGATAACCATTCCGATGTCAACAGCAGAAGCCGAACGTTCCATCTCTACTTTAAATCGCATCAAGACTTTTTTACGCAATTCTATGGTGGAAGAACGTCTGGTGGCTCTATCAATGATTTCGATGGAAAAAAAAATTATCACCGAAACTATAAACTTTAACGACAAAGTTATAGACATATTTGCAGCGAAAAAAAATCGAAGAATTAACTTAATCTTCAAAAAGTGATTATTTTATGTTAAAATTAAAATGAAAAAAGTCAATATAAGTAAATCTAAGTAGACAAACTTCTTCAAAAAGTGACTATTTTATGTTAAAATTAAAATGAAAAAAGTTTAATATAAATAAATCTAAGTAGACAAACTCATACGAGTTCCACCCAATAGTGTACTAAGAGTTCTAAGCTGTCAGGAAAATACAAGGCAAAATATTGGTAAGTTCATATGTTAAGGTAGCACACTGATTTTCTTTGCCTGGTGAGCCCCTGCTAACCCTTTCAAAATAAACGAACTTTATCACACATGCACTCACATTTTAGAACCAAAAACCATGTTTTTTAATTATTTATTTATTTTGAAGAAAACTGTAGGTACCATTTAATTAAATGCCAACTGCGCCACATTTTTTTAAACCCCACTGGCAGAAATTTTACTACCACGAGCCGCCACTTTAAAATTTAAATAACTGTTATTTTTCTAAACGTATGCAGTGAACTTATAACACAGCACACTCTGAAAGCTTTCTTTTCATGTGTTAAACAGTATTATATTAATATAAAAACATGAACATATTATTTATATATATTAATATATTTTATAATGTATACTTTTTTATATTTTAAATTCATATATATATATATATATATACATATATATATATATATAATATATTTTATAATGTATACTTTTTTATATTTTAAGTTCATACATTTTATATTTAGGTATATTTTATATTTTTTGTGATATGTACCTGTTATGGAATCCTGTATTCTCTTGAGGTTTAATGAATAGATAATAAAAAAATATTTGTGTTATTTTGATGATAGGGGCGTAGAAGTTGAGGAAAAAAACAAATATACAAATATATTTATTAATACAGTACTTAAAATCTAATTTGAAGTAACTTTTCTAAATAATACTATTTAGCTATTTATCGACAAAAATGATTGAAATATTAAATAAATATTAACATGGCATAAATAGACATACGTATACCCAGTATACATTGATAACACTATTTACACTACTTGCTTTCCAGACACATAAACCTGTTGAATGTTTCTATTATCGGCCAAAAACACGAACTTTTGTAACAACTCCAAACAGTTGCAATCAACAAAATAATCAGCAGCTGAATCCTCTACATCAGCATCGATGATGAGGGCATCAAAATCCTTGCCTTCCTCGAAGTTTCCAATCTTATTTTGCAAAGATAAAGCTGAAATAATTAAATTAGTTTTTTTTCAACAAAAAATTAATTTTACCTTCTGCCCCTCCTAAAGTGGCCAAGTAGAACACATCGCAATACGTTAAAGGATCATAGTCTTCCTTGCTATGTGAAATATGGATTGAAGTCTGTATTGCTGATCGCATGGCTTGGATTATAGATGGAGAAGGGCCTCCAGAGACATCTTAAATTTTAATTAATAAAAAATGTTGTATACAGAGTGCCATTGTTAATATTACCTGTACCCAACCCAACCTTAATTCCATTACTGACAAGTCTTTTGACATCACAAAGTCCAGACTTAAGACACGTATTTGAATCTGGACAGTGTGAAATAGAAGAACCGGTTTGAGCCAGTAATGTTAACTCTTCATCAGTCAAATGGACACCGTGTGCTAATACAGTCTTAAATAAACAAAATTAAAAAAAATCAACAAATTAAAACATTGATTCTTACCTTTGGTGTTAGTAATCCAGATTGATAATAGACACTGGCATACGAAGAGGATCTAAAAAGTGCTTTGACGAGTTTGATTTCTTCCTTGTTTTCCGATATGTGTGTTTGTATGTTTAGATTGTTTTCACGGGCTATTTCAGCCAATTGTTCCATTGTTTCAAACTCCAGACTTGGAGCAAATCTTGGAGTTATTATTGGTTTAACGCGATCACACTAAAAAAAAGTTATTTTAAAAACTATAAGCTATAATTTTATGTATTATACTGGTCAACAGCCATTATCTCATTCTTACCCCTCTGAAATTAACTTCATTAATAAACTTTATGGTGTTTTCTACAGTTTCTTGAGGAGTTTCAATATAATCATCAGGTGCCAATTTGGTCATGTTTATTTTACCAACGAAGGCTCTTTGACCATGTTGGATGGCCGCGTCTGCCAGAAGCAATGAACTGTTTCCAAAAAGTGATGCAAAGTATGTGGCTGTAGTTGTACCATAGCTTAGAGTCTTTTTCTAAAAAGAATATACTTAAATACAAATCTTTACAAAATTAACAAAATGTACCACTACTGCATTAAATACTGCTTTGGATAACTTTTGGTCTCTAAATTTCCTCTCCAACTTATAAGTGTAATGTTCCAACCACTCCAAAAGCGGTTTATCATAACCAAGACCGACATTTGGGTACTGTGGTGCATGTATATGCGTGTCAATTAAACCAGGAATTAACAACTGCGTTTTCGTTAACCTTATCTCCTTGCAACTAGTAATGTTTAGTTGGTTTTTCACGTTCTCCAGTTGTGATATATTTTTATTGACTACGATTATCTACAAATAATACAAATATTGATTTTTATTTGAATGCGCGTCTTATATTATATTTGTTTTTAATATATTTTAAAATAATAACAAGAGACATTTATCACACAATTAAAATATTTTTAGGTCAAATTGGATTGATATAAAGTACATATTTAAATAACAAAATATAATTGTGGAGCGTCTGGTCAAAACCAAATTTATCCCTCTGATCAGATTTTTTAGGAGTAACAAAGCTGTTTTTAAATTAAGTCGATTTAATTTTTAAGAAAACGAATCGAAAAACGAAAAATATGTGAGGAATCAGTAAAATTATTTGACGTGCGAAATAAGTGTGCCATCTTAATTTCACATAAGTAAATGGAGAGCTGTGATTCGTTGGGATATTGGATATGTTTGCCTCTGATTAGTTCAGCAGCTTGGACGTTTTTTGTTTTGGTCAGACCTCTTATTTTTGCGCTGGTTCCAGACGCAAATTATCACCCACTTCAACACTTAAGTTGTTGCCGGCAGTTGACAAGGAAGTTTTAATGTGCTGAGCTCAAAGTTTGACAATTCAGCAAAGCACAAAAGACCTTCTCAGCCGAATTGCAATTAATATTTGCTAGTTTTATTTATAGACCGCTTGATAAATAAATTTAAGGGTCAGAACAAAATACCAATTAATGTACAGGAAAACCAAAAGAGAGTAGGTACAATAGCTACTGAGATAATTCACGTGGTCCTACTCATTTTGTAAAATTTACTGATTTTTTGCCATTTTTTATGTTAAAATTTTGGTGTCAAGGTTGATTTTTTAATAAAATGAGCCCTGCTAATCTGCTATATTTTTAAAACATTAAAATTTAATAATTTTATGAAATAATTGCAAATTATTTCTTTTTAAATAAATAAAATATTTTTTGCACAAAATGGCGAATGCACCGGGATAAATTAAATTAAAAATAGTATTCTTTTTTAATTTCTTATTATTTATTATATATAACTTAATAATATACAGTGTGACCCATTTGTAAACACATTAGATTATAACAGAATAATTGCGCTTGTCATTTGTTTAACTAATAAATAAATGCAATACTTACATAATTTTGGAATTTAAGAAAAAAAGACAAAACTCTACCACAAAACGTGCTTGGGCAACACAATAACTAAAAAAATTGTTAGAAATTTCGCACTAATGCGGCAATAAACAATTAAAAAAAACATCAAAAGCTACAAGTTACATATCCAGCTACTGAACTATCTATTGATGGTTTTCGGCCAAGAATGAAGACACATGTGCAGGAACAATCCTACTTGGACACGAACAATATCGACAAAAACGTAAACCAAGACGTAGGCTCCTGCAGCAAAATAACAACTCCCGAACTCCATACAGTAATCCCAAATGTTTGGCGTAATACTAACTGCCTGGTCTAGGGGGGTAACGCTTCGTACTTAGATTTAAGTCGGCGTAATTGTCCCCCAAACACCAAACTGTCTATCCCTCCCGTCCTACCTCCTTCATTACCCTACTGGACGTATAGCATCGGCTCGGCGAACCCGGGAATGGCTACTAAAACTATTGGCATTTCGCTCTCGAGCCCTAATTAGGGGACAGTACGGGACGCAATGGACATTCGCAACCAGCAAACACGAGTAAAGCTGCTGGTGGCGAAAGAAAATCGGCGCAAGGAAACAGAGGCCTATGCGGGGCCCGGGAGCGATGAGACAAAGGGGCTGGTTATACGTCTCTTATACTAATACTTATACTCATACAGTGTGACCCATTTGTTTGCGACTCACCCCTTTAAAATCTTTATTTATTGTGCGATTTTAACCGGATTTGTTTTAAAGTGTAGATCTTGATAAACTGTATTTTGAACGTTTTTAAGAGTAAATTTTTAAGAATTCATATTAGCGATTTAAAACAAAATCTAAGCACGGTTCTGGATTCACCACCCCTCAAAACGACCCTTTACTAAATTGTATTGATAAATTTTAAGTAGAACAATAATATTAAAGTATGTGGCTGTAGTTGTACCATAGCTTAGAGTCTTTTTCTAAAAAGAATATACTTAAATACAAATCTTTACAAAATTAACAAAATGTACCACTACTGCATTAAATACTGCTTTGGATAACTTTTGGTCTCTAAATTTCCTCTCCAACTTATAAGTGTAATGTTCCAACCACTCCAAAAGCGGTTTATCATAACCAAGACCGACATTTGGGTACTGTGGTGCATGTATATGCGTGTCAATTAAACCAGGAATTAACAACTGCGTTTTCGTTAACCTTATCTCCTTGCAACTAGTAATGTTTAGTTGGTTTTTCACGTTCTCCAGTTGTGATATATTTTTATTGACTACGATTATCTACAAATAATACAAATATTGATTTTTATTTGAATGCGCGTCTTATATTATATTTGTTTTTAATATATTTTAAAATAATAACAAGAGACATTTATCACACAATTAAAATATTTTTAGGTCAAATTGGATTGATATAAAGTACATATTTAAATAACAAAATATAATTGTGGAGCGTCTGGTCAAAACCAAATTTATCCCTCTGATCAGATTTTTTAGGAGTAACAAAGCTGTTTTTAAATTAAGTCGATTTAATTTTTAAGAAAACGAATCGAAAAACGAAAAATATGTGAGGAATCAGTAAAATTATTTGACGTGCGAAATAAGTGTGCCATCTTAATTTCACGTAAGTAAATGGAGAGCTGTGATTCGTTGGGATATTGGATATGTTTGCCTCTGATTAGTTCAGCAGCTTGGACGTTTTTTGTTTTGGTCAGACCTCTTATTTTTGCGCTGGTTCCAGACGCAAATTATCACCCACTTCAACACTTAAGTTGTTGCCGGCAGTTGACAAGGAAGTTTTAATGTGCTGAGCTCAAAGTTTGACAATTCAGCAAAGCACAAAAGACCTTCTCAGCCGAATTGCAATTAATATTTGCTAGTTTTATTTATAGACCGCTTGATAAATAAATTTAAGGGTCAGAACAAAATACCAATTAATGTACAGGAAAACCAAAAGAGAGTAGGTACAATAGCTACTGAGATAAATCACGTGGTCCTACTCATTTTGTAAAATTTACTGATTTTTTGCCATTTTTTATGTTAAAATTTTGGTGTCAAGGTTGATTTTTTAATAAAATGAGCCCTGCTAATCTGCTATATTTTTAAAACATTAAAATTTAATAATTTTATGAAATAATTGCAAATTATTTCTTTTTAAATAAATAAAATATTTTTTGCACAAAATGGCGAATGCACCGGGATAAATTAAATTAAAAATAGTATTCTTTTTTAATTTCTTATTATTTATTATATATAACTTAATAATATACAGTGTGACCCATTTGTAAACACATTAGATTATAACAGAATAATTGCGCTTGTCATTTGTTTAACTAATAAATAAATGCAATACTTACATAATTTTGGAATTTAAGAAAAAAAGACAAAACTCTACCACAAAACGTGCTTGGGCAACACAATAACTAAAAAAATTGTTAGAAATTTCGCACTAATGCGGCAATAAACAATTAAAAAAAACATCAAAAGCTACAAGTTACATATCCAGCTACTGAACTATCTATTGATGGTTTTCGGCCAAGAATGAAGACACATGTGCAGGAACAATCCTACTTGGACACGAACAATATCGACAAAAACGTAAACCAAGACGTAGGCTCCTGCAGCAAAATAACAACTCCCGAACTCCATACAGTAATCCCAAATGTTTGGCGTAATACTAACTGCCTGGTCTAGGGGGGTAACGCTTCGTACTTAGATTTAAGTCGGCGTAATTGTCCCCCAAACACCAAACTGTCTATCCCTCCCGTCCTACCTCCTTCATTACCCTACTGGACGTATAGCATCGGCTCGGCGAACCCGGGAATGGCTACTAAAACTATTGGCATTTCGCTCTCGAGCCCTAATTAGGGGACAGTACGGGACGCAATGGACATTCGCTAAGGAAACAGAGGCCTATGCGGGGCCCGGGAGCGATGAGACAAAGGGGCTGGTTATACGTCTCTTATACTAATACTTATACTCATACAGTGTGACCCATTTGTTTGCGACTCACCCCTTTAAAATCTTTATTTATTGTGCGATTTTAACCGGATTTGTTTTAAAGTGTAGATTTTGATAAACTGTATTTTGAACGTTTTTAAGAGTAAATTTTTAAGAATTCATATTAGCGATTTAAAACAAAATCTAAGCACGGTTCTGGATTCACCACCCCTCAAAACGACCCTTTACTAAATTGTATTGATAAATTTTAAGTAGAACAATAATAACTAAAAAAATTTATTCTGTTAAGTTATCGATGAAAAAACACACAGGATCTACATCTACAGGATACCCATATGGTATTTTTTTATTTGAAGAGCTACAATAATGGTTAAGTAAGAGAAAAGTTGTAAAATTAGAAGTTTATTAAAATTGCATTTAAAAATTGGAAAAAAACTGAAAAACTCTCAAAACCAAAAATCGTATTATACATACCAATAGAAGTTTAATACTTCTATGAGTATTTTTTTATTTAAAGAACTACAAGGTCGGTTAAATTAGAGAAAAGTTTCATAATTACAAGCCTGTTAAAATAAAATTTATGAATTGGAAAAACCAGCGTTTCTCAAAATATTAATAAAAAACTTTTCATAACAAAAATCGTTATAACTTCGTTTATCCTGATAATTTAAAAAAAAATAAGCTTTACATGTAAACATACACACTTATCTACATTTTTATCCAATTTGTGATTTTTTTTCGCCCACAAGATTTTGAGTTAACACCAACATGGTTAGAAAAAAAATCAAGGAACCAACGATGTATTAAATTACATAAGTTATGGCGACATTATAAAAACTTGGTAACATTATATATAGTAGCGAACAAAATAACAATTGTCAAATGTAAACATTACAAAAAATTATTTACTTACTTTTTTTCCTTCAACAATCACAAATCCATCTTCTATTACCTCCAAGACAAAAGGCTTGGTACAATGTATAATACTCCCAATAAAAATCTTGACATCTTCCTCAATTATATCATTACATCCATTAAACCCGTTCATTTTCCATTAACTTTTTCAAATTTTAGACAAATACAAGCGTTTGTTCACACCAAAATGTGCTTCGTGATATGGTTCCTCTAAATTTATTTGTATTGGTTCCGTGTTTACATAATCTTATCAGTCTGCTTAGACCAACATAAATTATTTAAAATATTTCATTAATCACTGTTAAATGGACTACACGCGACAATTTACTTCGGTTAAATAATAGAAAGTGCATGTTGATGTTTGCATTTAAACCAAAATAAAAAATAATTAAAAATTAAAAATAATTAAGATATGTTTTTTGAATGGTATACAAATTTGTTTATTACTATGCAAATTTGCACGTGTCAAATGTTATATTTTGTTATTTACCGAGACCGGAGTTTGGAGCACATAAAATACATAATGGGGTATTTTCGTAAGTAATATCATAAGGCATTTAATTTTTCCGAAAAGAATCGAAAAAACACGTTGCTAAGTGATATTTTAACAAAAAGCATGAGTGCTGGTGGAAACAAAAATCCGAGTCGAAGAGGAGGATTTTTGCACCTGCACGAATGCATTTTGTTAAAAAATATTACTTAGCATTGTGTTTTTTCGATTTTTTTCACAGGAAAAATTAGATGCCCGAATGGTATTTGACAAGACTATTTCATGAGTAACAGTTAACAATTAAAATATAAATTGCAATTTTTGGTGACAACAGCTGTCAAGTTTTGCCGCGGGTAAACTCGAATAAACTGCTGAAAGGTGCTGTCACACAGTTTTTTCACCTAGAAACCATTTGTAATTCAAAATTGCGCGTTTGTGATTGGTGGATATTAAGACGAGGGAAATAGTCGTAAGTAATATCATAAGGGCATTTAATTTTTCCGAAAAGAATCGAAAAAACACGTTGCTAAGTAATATTTTAACAAAAGGCATGAGTGCTGGTGGCAACAAAAATCCGAGTCGAAGAGGAGGATTTTTGCACCTGCACGAATGCATTTTGTTAAAAAATATTACTTAGCATTGTGTTTTTTCGATTTTTTTCACAGGAAAAATTATATGCCCGAATGGTATTTGACAAGACTATTTCATGAGTAACAGTTAACAATTAAAATATAAATTGCAATTTTTGGTGACAACAGCTGTCAAGTTTTGCCGCGGGTAAATTCGAATAAACTGCTGACAGGTGCTGTCACACAGTTTTTTCACCTAGAAACCATTTGAAATTCAAAATTGCGCGTTTGTGATTGGTGGAAATTAAGACGAGGGAAATAGTCGTAAGTACTGTCTGTCCACTCTAAGTTGGCGGAACTAAGGAATTTTGTAGTTTAGATATTAAAGAATTGTCGTACTGTGTGCTTTTAAAACAGATTTTATATTATAAATAATACTAGTACATATTATATACTAGTATTATTTATAATATAAAATCTGTTTTAAAAGCACACAGTACGACAATTCTTTAATATCTAAACAACAAAATTCCTTAGTTCAGCCAACTTAGAGTGGACAGACAGTAATATCATAAGGACATTTAATTTTTCCGAAAAGAATCGAAAAAACACGTTGCTAAGTAATATTTTAACAAAAAGCATGAGTGCTGGTGGCAACAAAAATCCGAGTCGAAGAGGAGGATTTTTGCACCTGCACGAATGCTTTTTGTTCAAAAATATTACTTGGCATTGTGTTTTTTCGATTTTTTTCACAGGAAAAATTAGATGCCCGAATGGTATTTGACAAGACTATTTCATGAGTAACAGTTAACAATTAAAATATAAATTGCAATTTTTGGTGACAACAGCTGTCAAGTTTTGCCGCGGGTAAACTCGAATAAACTGCTGACAGGTGCTGTCACACAGTTTTTTCACCTAGAAACCATTTGTAATTCAAAATTGCGCGTTTGTGATTGGTGGAAATTAAGACGAGGGAAATAGTCATGTAAAAAGGATTTTATAAATAAATAATTAGATACCATAGTCTTGTTCCTAAAAAAGTCAGGAAAAACGACAGTATTATTTACCAATTGGTGTTAATCTTAATTTTGTAACTAGACTTTAGTATATGCAACATGGAATCCGGTCTATATTGTAAGTATCCTATTAATATATTATTTAATATTTGTTTTTGTCTGAATTGTAATTATCCAGTTTTTTGATAACCAGGGCACAGCTTTCCGCTTTATTCCTGTTTAAGTGATAACCTTATATAAATTAATATCCTCATTTATTTATTGCTATAGCAGTATATACTTTTTATATCTTAAATGTAATATACATAAATTGATAAGCGTTACAAAAATTTAAAAACTATAAATAAAGTAAATATTTTATATTGATAAATGACGCATTAGGATTAATAATAATTATTAATAATAATAGTTAATACCTGTGTGACCGAGCTTCGCTTACAGCATTACAAAAATTCGTTCCAATACATTTATGTTACTTTTAAAGTATATTATTCTAGGTAACAACGAAATCGAAATTGTGGAACGAAATGCTTTTCATAGAATACACAACTTTTAAATATTTTTTCTACTCCCACCTTTAAAACGCCCATTATCGTACATGTTTCCATGACACAAAGTGACCTTTTAAATATACATTGACAAGCTATGGCTTTATGGCGCTTTAGTCACAGGCTGAAGTTATTAACAGGTTTTTAGTCACGGGCTAAAACTAGCTTTAAGTTAGTTAACAGTTGTCAAATGTCATAAAATCTTTAAAATAAGTGCCCTTCTTGTGAAATAATACTAAATGTGAAAATTATTGTATTATCTTTATACACAAATATAAAAGTATTTCGCGGATATTTTAAATTTTTCGACGTCATTGTTAAACATTATTTTAAAGGTCTTAAGTAATTGTAATTTCTGATATTTCCTAATAATTATTTAAATCAATGTAGTAAATTAACATTAACAGCTGTTAATGTTAATTTACCACTAGTGGGTAGCGATACTAAACATGTTGAAAAACGATGGGTTAAGATAAGTTAATATTAATTATTTCTCATTTTAAAATAACTTAACTTAAATTTAATAGAATTAAAGGTTTTATATAGTATATCATGATACAGGTATCAAGTTTATAAACGAGGTGCATACTATAATTTTTCTAACCAAAAATACTTAATAATATCTAAAAATGATTAAAATTAAATATTTGTTTAGAGCGACATTTATAAAACAATAGAGTAACCAACTTGGGTATCTGTAAAATGTCAAATTGTAATGTGTCAATCGAAATGAATCCCTTGAAAATGGTCCGTGTAATCCGATATAAAAGCAGTTTTTTACAGTGAAAATAAAGAAAATGTTTTATTGGCACTCCACGGTGAAGTCTCCACCCGAAATTAAGTTAAATCTAGTTTACTGCCGGCGAAAAGGTCAGTTAATGTTCATATAAACTTTTCAAATATTGGCGTTAAGAATATATTTAATACTTTTGTATTTAGATAATAAAATAATTTTTACATTTAGCATTATTTTGCAAGAAGGGCACTTTATTTTAACGATTGTATGACATTTGACACTATATAACTATATATTGATATTTTTTATGTCGTTATAAGAAGGGCACTTTATTTTAACGATTGTATGACATTTGACAACTCTTCACTATATAACTTTTTATGTCGCTATAAAAATATTGTTTAATTTTACCTACTTTGTCTTAGAGTTTAAGCAATTCTTATTTATAGGCAGCTTGTCTTTGAAAACCTTGATTTAAAACAAAAGTTTAACAATAGCTTTGATTGAAAATTTTAAACCTGAAAATATGAAATAAGTCATAATAATTATTATATTTTTTGTTTTGGTTTATTTGTGATATATTATATTATTTTGGTTTGTTAAATAAATGTATTACATTTTTATATTGGATCTAAAATGTTCAACATTTTTATAATAATAAAGCTTTTATATCAAAAACGAAGCCTTAAATAAAAAAACCCACAAAAAGTGCTTAAAATAGTTAATTTTACCACTACCCCCAAAAACCCCAAATATCTCTAAAAATGAATTAGTCAAAAATGACTAATTTAATAGTTATTAGTGGCTGCTTTTTCACTTGTACCATGGTTAACCATGGGATACCATGGAATACCAAAATTTAACAACCAATTCTTATGTAAAATTGTCCCGTGAATCTGAAAATACCGTCAAAAATTATAAAAGTGGAGCAGTTTTTTAATAAGTTAGTCATTTTTGACTAATTTTCGTTTTTTCCAGTTGTGCTGCAAGATTATTTTTTTGTACTCTATTTACGGCCTAAGCTTGAATTTATTAGTAAATTTTTTGTACACACTAAAAAATTTTGAGTGGATTTTAACTCAAAATTAACTCAAAGTGTTGTCAAAACGAGTCCTCACCGGATTGTGTAAAAAATTAAATCAATTTTTTTAGTAACATTTACCTTTTAATGAGTTATATATATTAATACATTTTGAGTGAATTTTAACTCAAAAAAGTGATTTATGTGGAAAAATTGTGTAAAAATTTACATATTTTTAAGTAACTTTGAACTTATTTTGATTTAATTTTAACACACTTTAGTGACTTGTTTTCACTAAATAGTGTTAATTCTACTCATTATTAATTAATACATAATAAAACTTGTGTAATAAATCAATCATTTTGTAGTAAAACATTTAAGCACCTACGAAAAATTGAGGGCGCACCAGAAAAACGATATAAAATTTCCCGGTGCATTCACCATTTTTTTTTTTAATTTGATGGGTCTATTATAAGCCTACGAAAAAGGCAATACTAATGGATTCGAAGCTAATAAAATGGGCAGAAATGTTTAATTTATTAATTGTTTTATTATTTTTTTAATCCACAAGTGCAATAGGTACAACGTTATATCCACAATTTACATTTTACCATTGTGAACAAGCACTTAACTTTAACTGTGATTTTCAATGCTATTATTACTTTACTATATTGTAATAAAAAAAAAATTGGACAGGGTTTATTAATCTATGCCGACACCTTTATTTTTAGAAATCGAGAACTGCATTTTTAAGCATATTACTACCACAAAATTGTAATATTGCAGGACACTGTATGTCAACACAAAAAAGCTATCAAGTCACGAACTTGTTACTATGGATAATTACAAATAATAAAACGTAAGAATGTTTGGGAAAAATTAATAATTATTGATAACCTCAAATTTGACGTTTATGTCAAAAGTCGCAAATACACTAAACGTTTCTTTATTATGGTTTCCAAGGCAAAGTTACTGTTCCTCGAAAAAGTGCAACTTTGCGCTTTCTTCTGTAAGCGCAAATTTGTATTTTTCGCTTGGTGGTACAAAAAAGTACTTTTCGAACCCACAAACCCGAAAAAGGTATTCACATTTAAGTTATTAAAAATTAATTTTAAATTCTGACTTAAATATAAATAGTGAATTCTGACATATTTGGTTTTATAAAACACCACAAATCAGTATAATTGAGGACCCTAGAAGCCCAGGGGTATAAGTACATTTTGTTTAGTTTTGAGATAATCATGTTTAAAGTAAAAAACGCTTGTTGTTTTATGACTTTATTTTTCTAAGCTTACAATTCAGTCAATATCCCTTGGATACCAAGTAAAATGTACCATTTACTATATTTTTCTGTACATAACTACTTTTTTTTTAAATGTCACTTGTATCCCTTTGCTTCTAGAGTCCTCAATTTTGCTCTAATATAAATTTTGGATAAAAATATTTTGTTTTAAGCGTATGACAATTTTTATATTATAACCCTTATAAGCCTACATAGAAAGACTTCATAATATATATATATATATATATATATATATATATATATTATATGAACGCAGTTTAAAAGTCAAATTATTATACACCTCCGTATAATAATAAAAATACATTGAAATTACATAGGAAGAGTGGCTCCATAGTCTATAGACTATAGAATCTATGGACCATAGATTCTATCGCGTTTAGCTTGAAATCAGGAAAGAAAATGTAAACTTACAGGTCATTGTAGAATAAATTCATGTACATAACCTATATTATAACATATGTCAAACGTCAAACCTGACCAGAATTTTAAGTACAAAATTATTAAATGCTTGAAAATAGTATATTCTGTAACAAGTTTGGAATACACTGTATTCAATACAGCATATTCCGCTAGAGTGAAAAGTTTGTCACACGAGCCGAAGGCGAGTTTGACGATTTCACGAGAAACATTTATCATTATTTACGGAACAAAAACAATTTTATCCAATAGGAGTAGACAATAGTATATTACATATAATACCTATGTATATTTTAGTTAAGAGTTTTATTTGGCACGAGCAAAGCTTGCAAGCGATTTTTTAATAAAAACGAGTAGAGGAGTTTATAAAACGAGTTGCATACTATAATTTATCTAAGAGAAACACAAAGAAGAATTTAAAGCCAATTTTATTTATTAAACATTTGACATCTGTCATTCGGATTTAATCTCACTTTCCCCAATTTATAATAAAGCCAACTTCAGCCCGTGACTAAAACGCCATAAAGTCACAGCTCATCAATGTAGGAGTAGATAATTAGTATATTATGTATCAAGTTTGATAAACGCCATTTTATACACAAATTTAATTTAGGCACGAGCGAGTGCTTAAATTAATGAGTGTATAGAAAAGTTTATAAACGAGGTGCATACTATACTTTTTCTACGACAAATACTTATTATTATCTTCAGGCCCGGCTCCAGACATTTTGGTACCCCGTGCAAAAATATTTTTGCCGCCCCTCATAGTTACCTACTTTTTAGTGCCCATTAATTGGGAATAATTTCTAAAAAAAAAACTACCTAAATAATTTCTTCCCCTTGTTGCTACAATTAGATATCTGGAAAAACACATGTATAAATAAAATATTCTAAAATTGGTATGTAAGTATTTAGTAGAACTGGATTCGAAAAATTTTGAGTTATCCAGTTGTAGCATTAAGGGTAAGATAAAATTAACAAAACAGTTTAAAAAATCATTATTTAATAACAAATAAATAAAATATCATCGCATTCTAAAAAACCAGTAATATATATTCTAATAATAATTATTTTATCTAAAATTATTAAACTGACTAGTAGTAAAAATAAGAAAAATCTGTTTACAAGCAAAAGTTTAAGTAAAGGAATGCCTCCTGGTTTTTTATCCAGCAAACGTTGAAATTAAATTGGAAATATCTAATTTAGAACCTAGACTGTTATAAAAATCAGATTTGTGAGAAACACAACGTTTAAAACGATTATTAATCTGTATTAACAGAGCACAAACCCAAAGCACAAGAATTGTAAACAACAAAAATGTCCGCCATTAAACTCTGTGCAGTGTTGAAGTGATTTTTAGTATTTTTAGCATGATATAGAACAGACCTTGTTGTGTGGATTGTGGTCCAATGGTGAAAAATGTGAAAATAATATTTGATGTAATATTTATAAAACCAAATTCGTTACTTTTTTACTCCAAAAATGTGCATAAGGCGATGTACGTTTTCTTCCAAATGAAGTTTTGCCCTCAAAAGGGCTTTTCATTCGAATTCGTTGCTATTATTTTTGGCATAATTATCTTTTTATTTATAATTGACAAGTAAATTATTAATAATAAATATTATTGTCAATTTGACAGTGTCAAATTCTTTAGCAGAAGTACCATTTTAAAATACCAGATGAAAAATGAACTGTATATATAGTTATGTGGATCTGGATTAACAAAAAATCTAGTTAACATTTGGTTAAAATTAACAATTATTTTTTACTGTGTATATTGTGTTGTATTGAATAACTTTTTTCGGCCCTTTTTTTGCCGCCCTTTGATTTTGCCGCCCCGTGCAGGGGCACGGCTGCACGTACTCTGGAGCCGGCCCTGATTATCTTAAAATGATTTAAATCAAAAATTTGTAGAGAGCGCCATCTATTAAACAATAGGGCAATCTGTGTGTCACCGTCAAATGTCAAATTTTTATATTATAAAGGTTATAAATCGAAATGTATTTCTTGAAAATTGACAGTTTTTACAGTGAAAGTAAAGAATAGTATATTATGTATCAAGTTTTATAAACGCCATTCTAGTTACGAGTTTTATTAGGCACGAGTGAAGCTTGCGAGCGGGTGTTTATTAAAATCGAGTGTCTAGAGAAGTTTATAAAACTTATATACTATACTTTATCTAGGACGAACAGAAATAAGAATTTCAAGTCAATTTTAATTCATAAATATTTGACATTTAACAAATTAAACTTCACTTTTTCGCAAGTTATTAGTTAAGCCCGTGACTAAAATTCCCAAAAGCCACTGTTGCTAACTTCAGCCCGTGACTAAAACGTCAGCTTATCAATGGGGGAGTAGATAAAATAATATACTTAATAGTTACCGATGTTTAGGATTTTTTTTAAATAATATGATATTTTATAAATGTAAATAAAAAAAAGTTGTGCCGAAACCAGGGATCGAACCAGGGACCTTTAGATCTTCAGTCTAACGCTCTCCCAACTGAGCTATTTCGGCTTGTTAAAACTTTAATAAAAATAGAAAAGTGGACGTAGGTTGTAATACCTATGAACTACATAAATGGAAAAAACGCAAAAATAGACGACTTTGTAAATAAGCACAAACGGTTCCAATATTGATCCTTGGGGAACACCTATTATCCGGATCTAAAAATAACAAAAATTAAGTACCTACTTGGGTTTTTTTATTCTTTAAAAATCACAATTGTGTGATTTTATTCAAATTTAGTTTTTCTACACCGACCTTTAAAACGCCCATTATCGTACATGTTTCCATAAAACTAAGTGAAATACCTACCTATTGACAAGTTGTGGCTTTGTGGCGTTTTAGTCACGGGCTGAAGTTAACAACAGGTTTTTAGTCACGTACTAAAATTAGTTTTAAGTTAGTTGACAGTTATCAGTGACATTTGATAATCGTTAAAATAAAGCCCTTGTTGTGAAATATAATATATATAATAATGTGAAAATTATTTTATCATCTTAAGATATTAATTAATACAAAAATAAAATGTAAAAAAGTTATTTTACAACAAGGGTTATTTTAACGATTGTATGACATTTGATAACTGTCAACTTAAAAAATCAAAATCAAAAAGTCATGACTTTGATTTTGCCAGTAAATTAGATTTAACTAAAACCATTAAAAATTTCGGGTGTAGACTCCACCGTGAAGTGCCTATATGAAGTGCAGTGTAAAAAACTGCTTTTATATCACCATTTAAACGGTTGTTAGTCCATTTTTAAGGGATAAATATCGACATTTTGACTGGCCCGCCGGTAGGTAATACAGATTCCTAAGTTAGAAATTGTTAAGCGAGTTCTCTATTATTTTATAGATGTCGCTCTATTCAAATATTTAATTTAAATAATTTTTATATAATAATAAGTATTTGTCGTAGAAAAAGTAGAGTACGCAACTCGTTTATAAACTTTTCTAGACACTCATTTAATTAAGCACTCGATCGCAAGTTCCTGAGATTTAACGCTACTAGACTTTTTGTGCATATTTACTTTAAAGCAATATTGTCAAATTTGTCTTGTTTTGGCACTAATGTGAGTGTTGTCTGTTTTGCCAGCAGTGTATTATTAATAGATAATAATAATGATCAATATTGACCAACCAGGTAAATAAACTTTATAATACAAAAGTTAAAAACCCCATTGAAAACAACTAAAAATAAAAATAACAAATATTAATTAAAACTACCGTTATCAAAAAGCAACCTTCATTTTAAATTTCGTTTTACTAATGAAAATCTTGGAAAAAATCGTGATAATTCCACCTATGCCAATTAAACATGTAACCATATCATGCAAAACAGTTATGACCTCAGAGATATTCCGCGTAAAGAACAATATTTACTCACAATATTAATTGAAGAAAATCTCGATCGTGATGGTTAAAGCACATTAGCAAGTATATAAATAAATGAATCCATTAAACTCGCTCAGTCGTTTTTAAACTCAAGTTAATAATGCATATTATATTTGTGGTTTTGTCCACGACCTTGGTAAGGAAACATATAGCTAGAAATAAAATTAACTATTTTTGTTTTATTTTTTTTGCAGATTTACGGTGTCATAGGTAAGTTTTTTTGTTTATACAACTAGTCTAAAAATATAAGAATTAATGCAAAAAAATCATGGTGAACTTAAAAATAATCTTTACAAACTTATTCATAAGTACCTAATATGGTCATTGTTGATAATATTTTCATATTTATGACATAAACATAAACATAAATTTTATGTTCAGCAATGTGTACTAACAACTTATTTTTAAAATCGGTCTCCAATTCGCGAAACGTATAGAGGATCTCATGATTTTTATGGCCCACATAAAGTCCACAAAAATTGTAAAAGGAAAACTCGATGGTAGTCGGGTTTTATTTTTTTTATGTAGAGTTAGTGGTGCTGATAATGAATCAAGAATATTCCCCAAAAATTTATTTCCGCGTCCCCTAATTTCATCCCCCTAAAGTGGAGTTTTTTTGCTTTTTGGCTCATAACTCGCTAACCCTGCATTTTTTCAGAATTTGACCTCTAATACTTTTTATTATGTACTAAATAAGGCACACGTTAAACCCCATTGCGCACATATATGATGTGCCCTTTTGCTATGCGCAGTGTGCAAAGTTGAGCGTTGCTTTCAAAATCACTTTTTTGTTTTTTATTATAACCCAATTTTAAAATTAATCGATCCCAAACCTTACGGTTATCAAACTTAACCGAATGGACGATTTATTGAGGTACTAGACTTTTTTCAAAACTTACTGCTTTTCAATGTACAGGGGGTTCTTTTTTCAATAAACCCATTTTTTATTTCCCAAACGGCTTTATGAGCCAGTTCGTTCTACCCTAGATTTTTAGGTACACTTATTCTCGTAACGAATCCGTAGTTTTTTTTAATTATTTTCATAGGAACTGCCCCACAAAAAGTTTTGAAAAAAGAACCCCTTGTACATTGAAAAGCAGTAAGTTTTGAAAAAAGTGTAGTACCTAAATAAATCGTCCATTCGGTTATGTTTGATTACCGTAAGGTTTGGGATCGATTACTCTTAAAATTGGGCTATAAAAAAGAGTGATTTTGAAAACAACGCTCAACTTTGCACACTGCGCATAACAAAAGGGCACATCTCAATACATAAATACAAAAAGTATTAAATAGTTTCTCAACGTCAATATTTGAAAAGTTTAAATGCACCTTGTACTAACCTTTTGATTTCGCCCCCTGTAAACTAGATTTAACTGATTAACCATTAAACATTTCGGGTGGAGACTCCACCGTGGAGTGCCCATAAAACATTATATTCTCTTGAAAAACTGTTTCTATATCGGATTAAACCGGTGTTTAGTCCATTTTCAACGAATACATTTATATTTAGACATAGAAAATTTACATTTTGACCGGCGCGCCGGTAATACAGATTCCCAGGTTACTAATTTGAAGTTAGAAATGGTTACCCCATTGTCTTATAGATGTCGCCTTAAACAAATATATACACATACTTCCAAGTATGTGAATATATAATTAAAATTATTTTTAGATATTAATAATTATTATACTTAATTATTTGCCGTAGAAAAAGTATAGTATGCAACTCGTTTATGAACTTTTCTAGACTTAAATGGCGTTTATCAAACTTGTAACATAATATTATATTCAAGTTTAATTTATAAATGTCGTTAATAACTTTTCGTGCATTTTTATTAAAAAAAAATTACGCAATTTAAAAGTTATAGTAAAAATGCGAATCACTTACTTAAGTATATATAATAAATTTATTTCACCACAAATAACTTAAGTCACTATAATTATTATTATTATTAATACATTAATAATTATGAATTATAATTCATAATTATGTAAGGGTTATTCTGTACAAAATCCACGAAATCCATTTATAAACGTTAAAATATTTTTAAGCAACCAAATAAAAAATATTTTATAATTTAATTTACTCCAATAAATTTAATTACAATTATTTTAGTACCTAATGGTGACCGAAAATATGCGATATTTTATGTGTATTTTAATAATTTTGAATCGGAAATAACATTTTTGTTTCAATCGGTCTGAATCGGACAATATTGAACTGGGATTTCAATTGGGCGAATTAATCCCAATTGGAAAATAATTTTGAAACTATTCAACTAAATTTCAATCGGTTTTAATCGACGCGTCGCACAGTGGGGTAAATAACCCTCATAACAGGCAATAAATAAAATGTTGCTAAAACAAATTATCTTTGATAAATATTTACTTTAATGGCCACCCGGGTCATTTTTATTAGTGTTTTAAGTTAAATATTTCAATAAAAAAAATCCATAAATTAAAATAATGCAAGTTTTCAAACGGTTGCGTTTACTGTGCGGTAACAGCCATTCATTTTAATATTTATTTTTTTTAAATGCTTACCTTTATTTACATTTTTTTTATTAAATACAAATTTTTTGTGCATTTTTTGTGTTTTGTTCGTACAGTTCGTATTTTCGTACGCCCGGTGTAAATTTATTAATTTGATTTGCCGGATCGATTAGTAAAAATAAGCTATATTAGTTGGGTGTTTTTTGTATCCTTTTCTTAAAATGGTTTACACTATTGCAGAACGCGTTGAAATAATTTTTATTTATGGAGCGGAAACCGAGAAATGTTAGACACAAGTACATTCGAGATTTAGTAGCTAAATTTGAAGAAACTGGATCTGTTTGCAATAAGAAGAGGAATAAGCCAAGATTCGTTAATGTACGAAGGCGTAGAAGGGCCAACAAAAATTTTACAAATTTTAGCCAAAACTAACTTTGATTTTTGCAATTTCTATTCTATAATTGTAACTTGAACCTACAATTGTAACTTGAACTTACAATTGTAACTTGAACCTACAATTGTTACTTGAACTTACAATTAATTGTACTTGAACCTACAATTGTAAGTTCAAGTTACAATTGTAAGTTCAAGTTACAATTGTAAGTCCAAGTTACAATTGTAAGTTCAACTTACAATTGTAGGTTCAATAGACTGGGCCAAAAAAATCAACTATTTTTTTTTTGAAAAGTATATCGAAAATATGGTTTGGGGTGGCAAAAAAAAATTATTGTGAAAGTTTGAGTCCATATTATTAATATTAAGAGGTCATCGCAATTTTAGATTTTTTTTTCCTGAGCGAGTTTTTGTCTCAGAACTCCCAAATCATTGAGTTTAACAAAATTGACTTAGGAATATTTTTTGAAGAAAATTGAATGTTCTACAAAAAAGGTTTAATTGGAATTTCCCGTCAGATGAACCGTTTTCTTACAATCATGCCTTAAAAATTGGTTTAGTTTTACAATTTCATCTTTTAATTTTGGAATATTGTAATTAATGTAAAAATCAGTACCCTGAAAAAAAAACAATAAATATTCTTATGGAATATCAAATGCTCTACAAAAAAAGTCTTTTATCATTTTTGGCTAAATTCACTCAATCAAAAGTTATTCAATGGTAAATTTGAAGTCAAAACGAAATTTTAACCTTGAATAACTTTTGATTGAGTGAATTTAGCCAAAAATTTTAAGAGGCTTTTTTTGTAAAGCATTTGATTTCCCATAAGAATATTTATCGGTTTTTTATGGGTACTGATTTTTACATAAATTACAAAATTCCAATTTAAAAGATCAAAATGTAAAAGTATACCAATTTTTAAGGCATGATTTTAAGGAAACGGTCCATCTGACGGAAAATTTTACTTTAACCTTTTTTGTAGAGCATTTAATTTTCTTAAAAAAATATTTTCGAGCCAATTTTGTTAAACTCAATGGTTTGAGATTTATGAGACGAAAACTTGCTGAGGAAAAAAAAATTATAATTGCGATGATAGACCTCTTAATATTAATAATATGGACTCAAACTTTCGCATTAATTTTTTTTTGTCACTCCAAATCATATTTTCGAAATACTTTTCAAAAAAAAATAGTTGATTTTTTTGGCCCAGTCTAAGGTTCAAGTTACAATTGTAAGTTCAAGTTACAATTGTAGGTTCAAGTTACAATTGTAGGTTCAAGTTACAATTGTAGGTTCAAGTTACAATTGTAAGTTCAAGTTACAATTGTAGGTTCAAGTTACAATTGAAGGGGTTAGAATAAAAAGGGTATAAGTAACATTTTCATTGTTTGGAGATATTTGAAGTTAAAGTTATGTTACCATAAAAAAGTGAAGAATTTTGTTTAGTAATGTTTTTCTACTGGATAATAGAGGTCGCTAGAAGTATGAAAATTACTTAAATCCTTTTCATTTCGATACGTCGGAACCTTATCTTTCACAAAACGAACTTATCTCCTAAATTAAAGAAATTGCACTTATACCCTTTCTATTCTAACCCCTTCAATTGTAAGTTCAAGTTACAATTGTAGGTTTAAGTTACAATTGTAGGTTCAAGTTACAATTATAGAATAGAAATTGCAAAAATCAAAGTTAGTTTTGGCTAAAATTTGTAAAATTTTTGTTGGCCCTTCTACGCCTTCGTATCAATGAGATCTCTCGGATTGAAGTTCTTGGCCAAATTGCTATGGCTTAGTCAAGCTGCGCAGAACAAACTGGACTGTCGCGTGAATCAGTCAGAAAAGTATTGAAGCTTCACAAATTTTACCCATACAAGCTACAATTGTAAATTACTCAAGAATTAGGGGATTAGTGCTGTTCGTTCAAAATAACAAAACATACACTAAAACGTTTAGTAAAGGAATTAACCTAACCTAACCCCACTCATCCTTTAACCGTTGAGTGATCAATGATTCAACCGTTGATCAATCATCGATATCGATACCAATATTGGTATAGTTTGGTACATTTAAAAGTATAACGATATAATACAAACATTCTTCTTTTACAGTTTTTCATAAAATTTTCGTTAACAAACCTTTTACTATTGTAGATGTTCATGGATATCGCAACTTGGACACCCTGGGAGAGGAAATTTCCGCCAGTGTTCAGCGCCAATTGCAACCGTTGGAGAATTTGGGCGAAAGAATAAACCAAAATGTCCAGGCACAAATGGCAAGGGTAAATCAAGATGTCTATGCACAAATGGCACCTTTGCAGAACCTTGGTCCGAGAATATCCGCTTCAGTTAAGTCATCCCTCTCGGGATTGGACAACTTAGGTGAACAAATACAGCAATCGGTCTATCAAAATCTGGAACCAGTACGAGCGTTGGAGTTTATATTTAAAATGCAAGATGGCGTTGGAGGAACTACTGTTGCTACATATAGCCCCAATGGTAAGAATTTTTAAATTAAAAATCTATTTGGAATGTTAAAAACCCACTTGTAATATCAAAAAACTTAAATCATAAACCACTAGACGGTTTTAAATTTATGAATACACAGTGTAGTCAATACATATTTTATTTTATTAAAAACACATTTTAGAATTGATAATAATTATTCTTTTAAAAAGGTACAATGAAATATAATATTTTTAGGAAAAACTGTTGTAATCAAAAACAAGCAACGATATATCTGTAAAGGAGAACTATCAAACAAAACAGGCAAATGCTCAGGAGACCTAACACCCTTCGTACAAAATGACAAAAGCGACTTTTGTTATGCAAGTGGTGGTCACACTGTAATAAATAACATTATATGCCTTGCAAATGGCCCCACGTCAGTGAGCATGATCAACAACCAATTCAGCTGTAGAAGTGTTGATGGCAGTCCTGTTTTGGTCCTTAATCTGGAAGAATACAACAGACTATGTAGCGGTCTAGCTAGAGGAGTAAAGTATACGTACTATTCCGATTTGAATGATCCAAGACATGTTCAAATACCACACCCAAATAAGTCCGTTAAGTGTGAGAATAATGAGCCTGGTGTTTGCGTGTTTCGGAAGGATTTGACTTACTTTTTTTAGGAACGTTTAAGAATATATTTAACCTTTATATTAACCATATTAGATGTAGTTTAGGATTACATTAAAATGCTTTTTTTAGTTTTCGTTGTCTTATTTCGATTATAATTGTTATTTAATGTGAGAAACAGCCATTTAAATTAAAAGTGTAGAAACTTTCACTCTTTAATTTTAAGATGTAAATGCCATAGTCTTACTCCCAGCTAAGCATTTCTTAATATTGTAGATCCCGTTTGGCTTAACGGCAACATACGCTAAAGCGCCATCTGAAGGCGCTAGATAGCATTATTGTACACAAGGTTTGTCGACAATACATTTAAAGCAATAAGAACTGCATATCATATTTAAATAAATACGTCGTTTTTTTATAAAAGCAAGAAAAACTATAGTGCATTTTTTTTTAACTAAATTAAAAATATGCTGTGAAAGACCTTATTTTTGTTAGTATACCCTGAAAATATTGTTCAAATCAAACGAAGAGTAACGGAAATACAGCGCTTTAAAGTCGTAAAAAATGACCACTTTTTAGCAAAATAATCCAGAGGTCATTTTTACCGACTTTAAAGCGCTGTATCTTCGTTACTGCTTGTTTGATTTGTACAAAATTTTTAGGGTATACCAACAAAAATACGGTTTTTAAGAGCATATTTTTTATTTACTTAAAAAAAATTCCCTAAAAGTTATTTTTTAAACGTTTAAGTTGAAGTATTTTTATACAAAATTTCATAAAGATTGATAAAGGCGTTTTAGAGTTATTTTTTTTTACTTATCATGCGTTAATTTTGACGCGCAGTGTATATACATATATACATAATATAATACCAGTTTTTGGTCTTTTACTGTTGAGTTATGATCAATCAACGCTTCTAAAAATTAATAATGCTAATTGCATTTAGAAGACTAATTTGATTTATGCTTTCAACTAAATTTAAATAATTACAATTTTCACGTAAATCATTAATAACATGTGTATTTAATGTATCTAATAGGTACGAATGATATTTACAGGGACTGTGGATTTCCACTCTTTATTGGGAAACCGGTAAAACTCAACCCAGGATTTTCTGTCGAAAAACACCCAACACAACAAATCATTCCACGTATTTTTTCTCCATATTTTTAACGTTTTCCGGCCTTATTCTCAAAAACACTCGTTTGTAGGTTTTGTTACGATTATGATGGCCACACATTGGCGCCACTAGCGATGGTTCTTCAGCGTATAATCAAATTAATTTTAGGACCTAGCAAATGACCAATTACATTTTATATTGGTCTACCTTTAAGGTATTCTTCTGGTCCCATTTTAAAACTCACTTTCTGATAATCACAAATAACAGAATAAAAAAACGCAAACATTATCAAGGTCTAAAAAAAATTTAATACTCAAAGGTCTTTATTAAAATAAATATTTACAGTCTTGCCAATTAGGGATATTTTAATACAAAATTATTATAAAAATAGCCACAATGTAGCTGCTACACACTTATCTTATAGATAGGTAAACTTATCACAACATATGGAATATTTTTTGGAATTATATACACTGCTCAAAGGCTCGATTTTCTTAGTTTTACTTGAACTTTTCCAATTTTACATGAAGTCCGCACATTTTTGTTTTGGCACTGTTTCTAAACCTTGGTTCCTATTGAAGATTCATTGTTTCATTAGAATTGAACTTCTTTTTCTGGTTGTTAAGTAATGTCTAACGAACCACAACAAAAACTTCAATTTGTCATTTATTAAAAACCTGAGAGGTTCCAAATATACGTTCCGCCAATTCCTTTGAACAGTGTATTTTTAAAAATAATTTAAAAATATTTATAAAAAAGTACGTTTTTTTTATTTCAAACTTATATGATAAAAATAATTTAAAACTACTTTTGATTTTCAGTCAAATATGATAATAATGATAAAACAATGTGTATATTGACTAAACTTAATTAAAAATTTGAATTGGTCAGGTTTTTATAACGATTTAATTTTTTTCTAAATATTTTTGTTATTGCAGCTTGGAAAAATATCAGCTATTTTGGTATCACAATAGATTTTCTTAATACAAGTGCTTTACAACCCAGTCCTATTAAGGTTGATATTAAAATAAATATAAAACTACGAAAATATTAAAACAGGCAAGAATAAAAACAGCAAATCACCGTCGTAACGAGAATACAACCAAAAAACATAATTTATAAACCATACATAAAACATAAACATAATCACAGATCTTTTTCTAAAAGAGGACCCTAATTTAATTAGAGTGGAAATTTATGCACGGTAATTAATTAATTTACCTTCTTTTAAAAACGCTTTCGTAGTGAGTAATTAATATTTCGAGCAAATTAATATCGCTTCGAACGTCCGGAAGATTCATGTTCGGGTGCAGTATGAGGGTAGGCGCGAACACTGTTGCCAAATTTGACTCGGTCATCTTGTTTAGGGCCGAGTGGCGGGCAACCCTGCAATTCGGAAAGTACATTAATATATATATATATATATATATATATATATATATATATATATATATATATATATATTATATGGGTCGTTTCAAGCCAAATCGACCACTTTTGAACCCAAACCCCTTTTGATCTGACTGATTTTTTTATATTTTTCTACCCCACTAAAACTGTTTCTCATAATTTTTTTCAATTTTTTTTACCCAACCAAAAAGAAGTTAAAAATTTTCAAAAACGGCTATTTTCAAATACCCATAACTTATTTAAAAATTGACTAAATGGGCGTATTTTATTAAATTGTTTTAGTTTGAATGTACTTTTCAGAAAAAAACAAATTTTTCAATTTCAAGTTCTATAACATTTTTCATTTTTTTTAGAAAAACCACTAATTTAGTTTTGGCGTTTTGGCGATTAATGCCGTTTTTCTTTCTATTTTTTTTATTGAAAAACTTTTTTTTTAATTTTATAATAAAATCAATTTAAATTACATGTTGAGTAGGTACGAAATTTTTGGAATTCATAAATTATTTAAACGCCTAAGAAAAAAGTTTTTTATTGTAAGTAGCAAATAAAATATAAATTAATAAATACGAGTGGCGTATTGTTTTATTAATTGTCATAAAACACTAGTGTCTTATGGACACCACAGTAGAGTCTTAATAATGGGTCACAAACCAGCATAATTATGCTATGTAATTGTGGATAAATAAAATAAACCGTTTGTTAAATTGGTATGAAAAATTAAATTATTGTTATGTAATTACATTAAGCATAAAATCATAATCATTATTATCATTAGATTATATAAAATATTATAGAACCATTCACTTAAATTGGTTTTATTATTTATAATAAAACCAATTAAATAAATGGTTTAAAAACGTTTTTATAAGAACATTTTAAAAATAAATTAATGTTTTTTTTTATAAAAATAAAGAGAAAAAAAGAAAAGAGGCAAACTTTGAAAAATTGTTTTTTTTTTAATTTAAAGAATAACAAAACATTTGTTGATATTTTTTTCTGAAAAGTAAATTAAAAAAACGTCCCATTTAGTCAAGTTATGAGTATTTAGTCCAACCCAAGGGTAAAAAAAATTGAAAGAATTGTGAGAAAAGTGATCGATTTGGCGTGAAATATGAAAGCTTTACCTGGATGACACATTTTAAAAGTGTATTTGTTCATAAAACTTTTTTTCTTATTTTTAGGGCTCAGATTACATACTATTACAAATAAAGTTTGAAGCCATTTTTAAATAAATCTTAATGTTCATCAAATATTTATTGAAATAAAACTATAATTTGCCTCTAGATTCCGTTTGACTACATAAATTCATCAATATTATAGTTTATGATTGTAATATGGAAAATAGACTTAAAAGTCCAACATCTGTTTTCACATTATGTTCATAATTCCTTAATTCAATTTAATCGTTCGAAAATCGCAGAAAAGTACAGTGTATTCATTAAAAAAGAGTACAATAATTAGAATGAGAGAAAACTGTCACCATTATTGCGTAAAACCGGCTTTCCACTGAAGTCACCGAAAGTTAATTATATTTTTTATTTATACATAATACCTTAGTATTATCCAAATGAAAAAAATATATTCATCAAAATTACTTTAAATAAAATCTTATATTTAGTCATGCATCCCTGTTTTTCTATAATTTATTTGGAAGTAACTCAATTAAATTTAATACAATATTTGAATTAATATCTTCCTGTATTGTTTCTCATATCCCCACAGAATTTTGTGGTCTGTAATTACATTTATATATTTATTTATTTATTTTACAATCATACTCCACATATTTTTGATTGGATTTATATAAGGAGTATAAGAAGCCCAGGGCAGCACTTCTACATTATGGGTTTGAAATCAGTGGGTAACAGTATTGGTAGTGTGGACTGGACAATTATCCTGTTAAAATATAAAGGTATTATTTGGATATATATGCTTGGCAGATGGTAGCAGTATGTTTTTCAAAATGTTTACATAGTTTTTGGCATTAAACCTTCTCTTTATTCGCAGAGAAACAGTCATGTTTAGAATCAAGGGGGTTGGAATACCCTTCTTCAAACCTAGTATTATCGGGCCGATAAACACTAATTTGGCCGTTATAAGTTGACTGGAAGGTCTTTTCGTCAGTAAAAAATACCGTTAATTAAATGTGATTTAATGCAAATATAACCCTTGATTGTTTTCGTTCTTCTGTGAAAAACATTTTTTTGCAGCTGGTCTATTTTTTCGTTCAGACTTCTGCTGAAGGTAGCTTGAGATCCTGAAAATTTTGTATCAATAACAGCATCCAAATTGATTATTTCTTAAATATCCCAAAAAAAGCAGCTTGTTCAGAGAAAGTTGGTCTGTCCACATTTTGGAATGACCTGAACCAAATTTCCGGTTTAGTTTCCAGCGTTGCTTAATTTTTAATATAGTTTTTATAATATTGATTCTTTGATTCTTGATACTATTGAGCCTTTTTAAGTTGATATAACTGACAAGGCATTTTTATTTTCTGTCAATATAGTGACTAAGTCAGTGGAAAGTCAGTTTTACCCAATAATGGTGACAGTTTTCTCTCATTCCAATTCTTTAACGCTTTTTTATGGCATAATAGAGGCGCGAATTTTAAAAATAATACATAATATTAAGAAAGTTATACTAAAATACGCTCTTAATGGTATCACTCCTCGTTCTTGCAATAAAAACTAATTTTAAAATATTTGTAAAGCAAACCAATTTTTATATTTAGAATTAGAAAAATTTAGAACACTTCTAAGGCCCGGTTTTATCATCACCAGTTAAAATTAAATTACTACTTAATTTGTAGTTAATTTGTTTTTGTGTTTTACAATTGGTAGTTATTTATCCAAGTACAGATTATGTTTGAGTTTCCGTAACTACCACTTCTTGTATTAGTAAAGTGGTGGTTAACCTAAAAATACAGTTAATATTGTGCTAATTTTAAATATGGATTTATTGAATTGGGAATCCCAATTTGGGATTGGGATTTATGACGATGATGACGAGGTTTTATTGAGACGTCCATAAATTATTAGACCTCGGACATAATGTGTATAATGAATGCTAACTTAAAATATACTATATATTTATAAATAAAAATATACTATATATTTATAAATAGTTATACTATATATTTATAAATAGTTTTAACTAGGGTGTCCAGTATTCTGTAAAAAAAATGTCCAGACCCTTTTAGGTTTTCCAGAAAGTAACCATTGTGTTTAAAACACATTTTTTCAGGATAAAACGCACATTGAATTAAAACAAATATATAAATAAAACCCCTGAATACTAAATTTTGTTAACACGTTCACTGCCGACGTAATAGTTCGCCCATATTGCAGTGCCGATAGATTTTTTTAGAAATTTTAGATACAAATGGACTAAAGATGTTTCTTTCGTTTCTTATTGAAAGGTTCTATTTGAAAAAATACTAAAACAAAAAACAAATAAACAAACGCGGTAGACGCGTTGGCGGCACCCAGCGACAAAAACCATGCTATATGCCATCGTACAGAACGCGGGTCCCGCGTGCTCGGCATATTGTAAAATACACAAGAACGCGGTAGCCGCGTTGCCGGCAGTTAAAGTGTTAAACAAAAAAGTTTATTTTTTGAAAACTAGTTTTAATAACCCAAACTTAACAGGGTTAGATAAAAAAAAGCGTACAAACTGTATTTGGTATCAATCCACATTGCAAATTGTACTAGACAAAACGGCATTTAGTATACTTATTGCAAATGTAGTACCGTAAAATGGGATAAATAGAAACTTGAGGGAAAATAGAATCAAATGTATACGATTTATTTAAAAATCATATTTTGTTTAAAAATTATATTTTGTTTAAATTACATTTGGGAAGTTTCGGTTTAAGTATATAAATTTATACACTTAAACCAAAGCTTCCCAAATTTAATTTAAACAATTTATAATTTTTTAAACAAATCCTGTAAATTTGAGTATATTCGCGACGCCAGTAATAACAAAACAAAGCAGTCTATTTTTCTTAATTACCTTTTACAGCGCAATATAAGGTTATATTTGTCGATTTCCGGTAATATTTAATACCAACATGACAAAAATATGTCAAAAGTTGTGATTCTGTAACTAATACTTCAAAATGCATGAAAAAAACAGATTACAATTTAAGTAACAATTTACCTCTAGTTAAATATAGGCCGTTGCTAGTCGTCCGTATATTCGGACGATTAATATATTTTATTCATCCGATGATCGGACGATTAGACAAGTCGAAAGGCCGTTGCTAGTCGTCCGTATAATCGGACGAATAAAATATATTAATCGTCCGGTAATAACATAAATAAATAATAAAAAGATTATCGGACTCAAACTCAACAACACAACCCAACCGACCCCGCCCCATTGCCCCCCCCCGCCCCATTGAACAAAAAACCCAACTAAAATGGGCAAATTTATGTTACGATAAAAATAAAACACTTTTTAACAAAGCAACAACAAATTTATGAAATAAAAAAAGTTCGACAACTTCTAGTAGATTTTATGTTACGATAAAACTAAAACAAACCAACCAACCCAACCCAACTGAACACTGTTTAACAAAGAAACAACAAATTTATGAAATAAAAAAATAAAAAAAATTTGACAGCTTCTTAGTATCGAACCCGGGACCTCTCGCATGACAAGCGAACGCCCTACCATATAAGCTATCTAGCTTGTTGTCAAATATTAAACGGTCGGTGAACAAAAGCGAATTATAATTATGACGTAACTAACGTTATGTTATTACCGGACGAATAATATATATTAGTCGTCCGTATGTTCGGACGATTAATATATTTTATTCATCCGATGATCGGACGATTAGACAAGTCGTTAAATATAACTGTAACTTACGAAAGTACTAATTAAATGCAATATTGAAAAACCGGGCATTATGCGTTAAGAGTTACTTTTTTTAACATCAATCCCGCAATTTGCCATTTTTATAATAATTAGCAAAACTATTTTTTTCAAGGTAAAATTCTAATACATATGTATATGTATATCTCTGGAACTAAATTATTAATTATTTAGTGGTTAAGTAAATACCTGTTAAGATGTTCCATCATAAACTTTAGAGTGTCATAATGTCCTTTTGGTAAAGATAAAAGAGCATGGACTATTGATGATAATACCAAATCCTGCTTTTTATGTTCTAAAAAAATTACTGATAATATTTTGGGATTTTAGGGGTGGATTTTTAAAATATAATTTATAAATGTACTTACGTATAGCATCAATTAATAAAGGATGCACTTCAAATGTAATTAAAGGTACTGGTAGTATCCTTAAATATAACTTTAAAGCTCCAGTGATTGCATTCACGTTTGCGTATTTTTCAATGCTTAAATCTGCTTTTTCACCATCTAAAAACAAAATTTGTCAACTTTCATTTGAAAAAGTATGATCCTACCATTAACCACAAAAATTTTAAAGGAAAACCCACTCATTTGACTTGATTTGTCACAAAGAGGCTAATTTTGAAGTAGGTATACGAAAAAAAAAAAAAAAAAAAAACATTTCTTACATTTGTCAAAAGCTAGTTTGATGGCATCGATTTCGTCGGCAAAACCATTTAATCTGTATATACCCTCGATGGTGAGACCTCTTGCTTCTACTTCCGCCACAGATTTGGTAACAACAAACGGAATTTCTGCTTTGTGAGCCGACAAAAATGTCGTCAGTTCTATCCCAAATACGCCTTTAACGTATTTCAGATCGGGAACGCAGTCATTGGCGAATTTTTCTGAACATTTCACTAAAAAATTATTGTTAAGTTATAAAAATGCTTTTAAAATAACAAAAAACAATTATTTATTAAAACAAAATTAAATTTAAAGGGTTTTAATAACAATTGGATCAAATATTATAATTCACATTATATCTTTTTAATATTGGCAGTGATTCATTTAATAAACTTTAATTATGACAAAGTTCTTATTTCATAACAATTATTGATCATATTAAACAAATACCAAAAGCAAATACATTCTTGGAATTGCACTTATTTTATCAGTTTTATGAAAATACATTTATACATAAACTTCATTACATATGAGATAGAAAAGTAGTAAAATATAAAGAGTAAAAAATATAAAAAGTTATGTAAAACTATAGGTAAAATAACAAAATTAAACCATGGAAAAAAAATATATTTGTTAAATTAATATAAATAAATTTAAGGATGAAATTAAGAAAACTTGATTTCAACTAAAAAAAATAGAAATCTTAGAAAATTATAAAATGAGGTCAATTCCTAAAAAATCGCAATTAAAAGTTATCAAATGACATTTAAAAAAAATTATTTTCATAAATTGGTTCTAATTGATTTTATCTACGTAATAATTTCAATAAATTCATAATTTGATTTTAGAAAAAAATATTTTACATTATAGAAGAACTTAATAAAATTAAAAAGTAATAAAAGAAAAAATATTGAAAATCAAACGCATAAAAACATTCATTAAAACATTGTATGTATGGAATCAATAAATTACCATATTGAATAAAATAAAAATAATCCTTACTTAAACTGTATTAAATAAAATAAAGTTTAATTTAAAAATAAATGAACTTTAAATTAGTTTGACCTGTTTCTTAAGTGGACTGGTATGTAACATATGTATGTATTTATGTCCATTATTAAATTAATTAAATTTTTAAAATATAATAGTTAATTATAAAGTTTTATTAACGCCATTTTAGTTACGAGTTTTTATTAGGCAAGAGCAAAGCTTGCGAGCAAGTGTTTAATTAAAACAAGTGTCTTAAGAAGTTTATAAAAGAGTTGCATACTATACTCTATCTACAAAGAACACAAAGAAGAATTTGAAGCCAATTTTATTTGATAAAGATTTGACATCTGACAACTGTCAGACAAATTTAACCTCTTTCCCAATTTATAATAAAGCCAATTATAGCCTGTGAGGAAAAAGCCCAAAAGCCACTGTTGCTCTTCAGCACATGACTAAAAAGCTTGTCAATGTGAGAGAGGATAAAAATAGTAAAAATAAATAAACAGGGTCTTAAAAAAACTTAAAAACTCCAGTAACTAGTATAAAAAATGGTGTTTTACTCTTTCTATATTTAAAAAAAAACTTTCACTTACTGTGTGCTATAACTCCACAGTCGTCACATTTATTCCCCTGCAATGTAAACCCCCATAAAAAATTTGCACACAACTCGCACCAATTTAACCCTTTAAAAGTGGTAGCCTTAAAAACATGTGGTTTTTCAGTTTGTTCAGGAATAACTTGCCCTAAAATATACTGGGATATTGGAATGTTATCGTTATTGGCATTATCTTTGAACAAGTTTGTGTTTCTAAAAGAGAAAAAAAATAATTACAGATTTTACTTAACATTTTTATTTGTTATATTACTTTGCATTTTCCCTTGATAAGGCCCGTAATTTTTTCTTGTTTAACGTCATATAGGGGCTTTCTTGGTAGTTTGCTGTCGCAAGCCTTTGTAATACTGTGGGGGCCTTAAGCTCCAAGTACATTGTAACCAAACCATCAGCCACAAGAGATCTGACACAATCATATCTTTTTTCTCTGACATATAAACCGCCTTTTGGATCATAGTATAGGCGATAATGGTGAATTTTGTCGTTAAATCTAAAATTAGGAAAATGAAGGTATTTGTTGCTCAATTTGTAGTTTTTTGTAGTTAGCATTTAAATATGTTGAAATTGTGCCTTTAAGGATTTTTTTTATAGAATTAGGCATTTATACCTAAGCTAAGCATTAATGTTGGATAATCCAATTCAATCCAAGGCTTTAAAATAAAATCCAAATAATTAATATAATATGTAATTAATTAATAGCATGCTAAATAAAACTTTCTACATAAATAAGCATATCCTTAAAAATATTCTGTTTAAAAATTACCAGCAAACAAAGTACTTACTTTAAGCTTAATGTATGGAATTGTCCATTTGCTGATTTGCTATTTCTAACCAAATAGGCCCCATTTGGTTTTAAACTAAGCAAATTTGAAGCTTGAATATGAGAAATATGCCCATGATAATCTTGCCCTAAATGAGCGGGTAGGTCTGGTATAACATCATTACATATAACTGGAATAGGCACAGGGGCCTCCAGTTGCATGCGATACACTAAAAAACATAAGTTAAATTACTTTATTTCCCCCTAAATTACCTACATTTGACAATGTGTATATTTCTTGGATATAAACTATTACAATATATATCCATGTAATGTTTATTGAGCCAATTTACTTTGGGAAAGCCCAAACCTATTTATCTAATTAATTAATGCAATGCTTACAATCGCTCTTCCATACTGTCTGAACTGGGGATTCCGAGTCGAGATTCATAAGGATCACTATCTTATCTCCACTCAAAAACTATACACACTTAAAGACTCATAACTATGTTAATTAATTGCAATAAGGCATCGTAAAACAGCTGTATTAGCTGTTAAACGTGTTAAATTTATTCGGCGAGAGACAAACAATTCTCAAGTCGTTGACGTTTTAACAGCTGTGAGTCAACAGTGTTGACGACCTTAAACGAAATTGCACGATTTACAAACTGTCATATAACAAATATGCAAACTGTAGTGGAATCCACAATCCAGTGGATTGTGGTGGAATCTAGGATTTCCTCGAAGACTTGTCTTCGTGGGGATTTCCATAGAAAATTTCTATAGAATTTTCTATTGAGATTTTATAATATGAAATTCATGGCAAGTTTGACCAGTGGATCAGCGGTACCAAATGTAGGGTAGTTCAAATATAAAAGTTGTAAAGCATAGACATATAAAACATAGAAAAATTTACCATAGACCAAGAATATTTAGATATGATAATCGACTCCCTACTCCGAGTAGGAAGTCCACTATCCTAGAATTTTTTTTTGACACGACACTGGATTCGTATAAACCAGGACCTACATAACTTGTAAGTGGTTGGGGTCGACGGACTGAAGCCCGCTGCACAATAGCCCGATAACGGGAAGGGCAATCCTAACAAGGTGGGAGAGATTAAAAAACCGTGGGTGCGTTCATTTATTTTTTATTTTGATAGATAGGGTTCGCTGAGTCTCTCCCACCTTTACCGTTTAGGTTCCCGTTTCCGTTACCGGGTTGTTGTGCAACGGGCTTAATCCTTTTTCTGTGGGCTTAATTAAGCGAAGTATCTACCACAGTTAAACAATTGCGCCAGTTAACTGGCGCTCTATAGTATACTTGAGTAGGTAGGTACTGTACTGTGGTAGGTACTTCTCGGTACTGCTGTCGATGATTTTAACATCCAGACTATACCTCTACTACAGCTGTTGCTGACGTAACGAAACCAGTGTCTGTCTATCAAATGCTTAATGTTTCCGTAAATTTTTACATTTTTTTTTCAAAAACATCTGTTAGTAGCAATTGCTTTTAAAAGTGATAGAGAAAAAACTTGCTTACTTTGATGTAAATTTCTACAACCAGATTTCGGGGTTGTAATTGGGCTTTTCAATGAACAGTGTTCAACTACCACGTTTAAAATAAATCCTATATATAATACTTATATTTATACAGTGTGACCCATTTGTTTACGACTCACCCCTGTAACATCTTTATTTATTGTGCGATTTTAACCGAATTTGTTTTAAAGTCTAGATCTTGATAAACTGTATTTTTGAAGCAAAAAAAACGCCATATTTTTACAAAATACAAGGCCTACATGGTACTATTACTATAAGATCAATTTTATTTCAATGTTTTTTTCATGGATAACTTGATAATTTTTGTAGTTATTATTGTGCATTTTTTTTCTTAAAATCTTTCAATAAAATTTAGTATAGGGTCGTTTTGAGGGGTGGTGAATCCAGTGCCGTGCTTAGATTTTGTTTAAAAATATCGCTAATATGAATTCTTAAAAATTTACTCTTTAAAACTGACATAGTATGCCTTGTATTTTGTACTAATATGGCGTCTTTTGCTTTAAAATACAGTTTATCAAGATCTACACTTTAAAACAAATCCGGTTAAAATCGCACAATAAATAAAGATTTTACAGGGGTGAGTCGCAAACAAATGGGTCACACTGTATATATATGGAACGCCGTTTTAGTTAATATTATTTGTTTTTTATATTTCTTAAATAATTTTTATGATTCTTTATTTATTTTTTTTATGTTAGTTAAATTTAAATGCTTCTTGAATTAATTTGTAACATTTTAAATTTAATTCCTTATTTAAATTTAAAAATTTAAAATAAAAAATTAAATATAACGAAACATTTTTTTCATCAATCAATCTATATGGGCAGGGTTTTTAAACAATGAATTAATTGTAGCAATATAAATAATCATAAAAATGATTTTTATTTAAAAAATGTAAAAAAAACAAATATTAACTAAAACGGCGTTCCATATAAACCACACTAACGGCGCCGGCTATCTAAATACAAGAAATTAAATCCAAAACAATTTAAGTTTTTATTTTGTATAACAAAAAAAAAATTATTATAAAACTTAGTTAGTGCTACCGCTGCGTAGTATGCCTTTTAATATTTTTTTCTACTTCTTTTACTTTTCCATGAGTATGCCTTTTTATACTTTCAACCTGATTTTTAACGTTATTATTTTTGAACTCAATTGGATTTTCTTCATTAAATAAAGTGCTAACTTCCATCATTCTATGCTTACTGGACAAAGTAAACTGACTAGGATTGTTTCTCCTTTCAAAAATGGACAAAAGTCCCCAATTGCCAATTTTGTTTTCTTGGGACTCTAAAGCCCAAGCGGCACTTCTTATTTCAACCTTAAATTTTTCTAGTTCTTCTAAACTAACGTTTTTGCTTACATTTAAACCTCTTTCTAATGGATTTACTATGTACATTGCACTATGTTCTGGTTTTGTCAGTGAAACAGGTTCATTTAAACAAATTGCTTTTGAACCAAAATCAAATTGGGAATAGAATTCGAAAAACTCCGCCAGTAGATCTGACAAAGATTCTTGATTTTTTGTTTTAAAGCTTAGTAAATTAAGGTCTCTTAAGAATGTGCAGTTTATACCATCTTCAGTAATATATTTATCTTCTGGTCCTGTAATGTTAATGGTTACAGTTGTAAAAAATGTATATTAAAACATTTAGCTTACTTGCAAATTTGGTTAGTGTATTTAATGAAGGTAAGATTGGTTCAGAGTTGATGGGTCTTTGTAAAAAAGCCAATACCAATAAAGTCAATGAAAAGTTTGATATCCATCTACCAGGTGATGGATTTGTTAAACCCACTTCTGAAGCCCATTTTCTTACAGCAAAAATTAGGGGCCTTACTCTGGGGTCTATAGAACCCATCATGTAAAGAAAGTCAGACATATAAACACCAGACCTAAACAAAAAATAATTACAAATGTAAAAAATACGCCAAGTAAGCGCTATCTTTAGTGACTCAATAAAAATACTGCTTACTTAGCTTATAGTTCAAAAAAATTGTCTTACATATTGGTCATGGACAAATCACACTCAACATTTGTCAAATGTTGGTGGTACTTGATTATTGGCACCTTAGCTTGCAAAATTCTTCTAACTTGTGAACAACCAGGCAAAAACAAATGTATTATATCACCAATAGTTTCCATATGTCTCTGGGAAGTGCTTCTTTCAGAACCTGAATATGCTTTGCAGTGATAAATAAGTCTACTTTTGTTATTTTCTTTCACATTGTCCAACCTTAGTACCAAGTCCAAATCACAGCCCATTTTTCCACAACCATTTACAGAGGAACCAAACGGAAAGGCATTTGCATTGGGAAACATTCCTGATACTGTCGATTCCAACTGCTTGGCTGTGAGAAACCTTAATCTACTCCCTACATCATTTAGTTTGGTGTTTTCATATAAAGTTATCATTTGTTCTGAAACCTGTTTTAAAAATGTCAAATTACAATTGTTATAACTGTTTTAAGAATGTCAACTTAAGCTTTGGATAATATCAAACACAGCAGTTGAAATGCTTGAGTGAAAATATCATTTTAACTGCTGTGTTTGATATTAGGTTTAATATATTAGGTACCACATTTTTCAAGGGAATTATTTAATTTCTCAAAATTTGACTCTAGATTTGATATAGGCCCCCTGATACAACCTTTAAGAATGTAAGCTAAATTTGCCTGTCTTGTAAAAAAAATTCCGATAATGGTTTAATAATGTCAACTTAAGCCCTAGTTTAGACCAGGGTGGAATAAGGAGGTGATTCAACTCCGTCGTTGAAGGCGGCCAGATAAGTCAGTATTTATTAAAAGTATGTATAGATGGCGCGTTGAAGTGGAACCTGTTTTAATCCTGGTGCACAACAAACTTTTCCCATTTTTAGTAAAATTGCATTGATTAACTTTAAAGAATAGACCACTAAGCTTAATTAAAATTCAAATAAAATCATTTCAACGTCACTTTTGTGCGTTTGTGGCGACTGTGCATTTTGGCAGAACAGTTGGCAATACTACAGTATTGCCAACTGTTCTGCAAATTATTATAATAATGCTGTAAAAAAAGATGTAATTTTCGTTAAGGAGGGTAGAAGACTCTCCTTGGGTTTTGGTTATCTTATAATTTGTTATTAAAAGTTAAGTTGTTATAGAAAATATGGATTTCGTTGGTAAAACCTTAGGTTCCTCTTTGACTCGCCATCTAACGAACAACGAACGAAATACTGACTTATGTGGACGCTGCTTCTGTACTTAGAGATAGAAGCGATATCACCTCCTTCTTCCACCCTGGTTTAGACCAAACATAATAAAATAATAAATATTCTTACATCTTCACATTTTAATAACATATCCTTAACTTCCGACTCTTTCACAATTGTTGTAGCATCTTCACATGTTAAAACTGCAGTTTTACTTTGCTTTAACTTAGACAACTTCCTACTGGAAGCTCTAAACCATAAAAACTGTGAATAGGTTGGTACAACTTGACTGTCTTCAGTATGTGTAGATGCTGATAAGATGTCTTTTACATTTGACTCTTCTTCAAATTCAACTATAATAAAATGCATAGGTTCCACTCCGCAAGAATAATGCATCATTTTCTTAACATTTCCAAATGTATTACAGTACGAATATAACTCTTTATATGATTGTGATGAATGGACTTGCACAAGTATGCTTCTATTGGCTTCATCCATACGAAAATTAATTTCCTGCATGAAAGGTACATATTTCTGACTATTTAATCTCTTGGTCACCTTTTCAATACTATTTTCTAGAAGATATTTCAAGAATTTATTATGTACTTTTTATATAACCTCTAAACTTACTTTCTTGCAATATTTGTGAGTAATTTCTGTGTTTTTGGTAGGCGCTGTTTTTAAGATATATGAGTTTTAAATCTTGTACAATATTTCTTGACAATGTCATACATTTTCTTCGGGAATTGTGGAAAGACAAAAATATTGACATATCTCGCAGCGGACATAACCTAATTGTTTTGTATGAAGTGCCGAAACACGAGTGGTACATTTGAACTACTGTGACTATGTTTGACATGTGTTGAATTGAGGTTAAGTAGTATAATCGACGATGAGTGAAAAAACTCCTAAAAAGAACCTGTTTAGCCGCGTTAGTTTTAATGGATTTTCACCTGTTATATGTAAGATTATTATTTTAACAATTAAATATTTTATTTTAAACCTTTTAATATTTTAGTACCAGTAAGTCCAGCAGCAGGATCCCCACAAAAAAATTTAACTGGCTCCCCGAGAGTGGCACGAGATATTGTTGCCGATTTGTACAACAACATCCAACGCTGGAACGATTTACACATAAAAGGATCAAACATAGTTAAACAAATAGCTGTATTTAAGTCTGACAATCCAAATAAGTTTACCCCTGAACTAGAGGATTACACAAACGCTTTGTATGAAGTTGTAGTTAGCCTGGTAGTGTACAGAAACTGTTTTGAGAATCTCACCTCACAAATTAAAGCTCTGTCCAAGTTAAATAAAGAAAAAGAAATCCTATTTATATCACTAAATGGGATAGAATTATCAAATCTTGTAGAGAGCATAAGCTTGGCATATAGAGATGAGTTCAAGGTCAAAGAACACATCCTTGAGAATATAGCACACACTAAGGGCAAGAATGAGGTTATGTTCTATGCTGCATCTTGGACTCATCAGTGTAATATAACAAGTGATGTTAATTTTAAACTGGAAACATTACTCGTTGAAACTGGGCATAGAAATTTTAATTGATTGTTTTAAGGTAAATTATTTACAAAATATTTTTAATATTTAATATTTTGAATATTTATTGTTAGTCCAGATCAAATAGTGTTGTATTCAAAATTCAAATTTGTGATAATCATTTAATAAAATAGGTAATAAAAGACTGATAATTCTTATAATTTGTTGGTTTATTAACAATATTTTATATAATAAATGTAAATAACATATTTTTTAATTTTTACAATAATTTTGATCAATTTTTTTCATTCTTTTCAACAATAATGATTAATAAGGTATTTTTCAATATTTAAAACTTATTTCCATCTCTTCTTTTAACAATGAAAATAATATTTCACAAAAAGTCATAAAATACCTTATTTTTAAGTTTGCACCATTTTTCAGAAATATTGCATTTATGCCCAGTATAACAATGTCAATATTTGTAGATAATAATTTTTCAATTTATATAATCCATTTTTTATCCTCTTTTTTATATTTTTATGTCATGCATTTTCTTTATGAATTTCTCTAAAAAGTGAGTGTGTTCTTCCAGATGGGGTTCAGCACTAAAAAAGTTAAATATTTTTAGGTAATAAATTGCCTAGCTTTTTTAGTAACCTTACTTATGAAAATCCAAATTATATTCATTAAAATACTGCATTTCTCCAAGCAAAGGCCATTGCCTGTATATAGGTGTATTGTTGCACACCCATTGCTTTTCTTCATTGTATTTTTGTACCAATTCTTCAAAGCGTTTTTCCAATTTTCTTTCTGTAAAATGTTAAAGTTATCAAAATATTTCTACCTAGAAAATGTTGGAGGTTTAAAAAGTATACCTATTAAGAGAAAAACTATTATTAATTTACCTTTAAAATTCAATTGTTTAGCTATAATGTTCCATTTGCCATTCTTGACATCTTTATTATAAAAGTCCTCGTGATTTTTATCGTAAAGTTCGGGATATTTTTTAATAAGAATGATGAGTTTTCGGTCAAATTTCATTTGTTGGTCAACAAAGAAAGGTATGAGGTAGAGTTTACCCATGATCTCTAGAAATAAAATTGTATATTAGAACCTATAACTGTTGAGTGAAGAAGTTCTTTAATCACTACAGACAATATTATATTATACCTTTTAAATGCACACAATGAAACTATGTAAGTATTGGGAACAATCAATTGTGCGCAAAAAATAATTTACACAAATACTTATAGAAAACAAATTATTCTACTGGTTTATATATCAAAAACGATATTTTTTAACAAAATAAACTAATCTAGTATAAATAGGTGCGTCATAATATTTAATTAAATAATTAATTAAGTAAATAGGTAGTAGTAACCTCTATTGCTTGAGTTTTAAATTTGTGTTTTAAGTAAAACCAAACGTTTTTAAATATGTACCCAGTAGTTATCTGTATACTATAGTCATAACAAATAATAAATGAGACAGCCTGGCTGGACAGATGAAGTGGTTAATTTTTAAAAAATAAATAATTTTATTTCAGTTTTTTTCTATGGTTTAAATATAATATAAGATTAAAATTTAAAATCGACAATACATTTTATTAAATAGATTGAGTTTTGAGGTTTTTGAATTGAAATTATTTGTAATATTTTAATTGTTAAAGAATAGTTTTAAAATAGCGCATGAATGCATATATTATATATAAAAATGCGATTTTTTTTACGAGTAATTTTCGGATTGTGAAGCAAATTAAAAAAAAACTGCCACGCTGTGTTCTTACTATGCCCGATAATAAAAATTAAACTTGAAATCATCATAAGTATTAACAAATTTTAACTTTTTTTACAGTGTCAATATATTGTATTCTTCAATGTCTATATCTATATCTTCAATATCCATGTTTATTATAATTCCTTGTTGTTTTATTTTTTATTGCGACTATAGGTAGTCGTCGGTCTATCCATAAAACGTGTATTTATTATCGACTATTCCACTCATTACTTTATGGACCAATCAGATTTCAGAAATCGAGTGTTTTTTTCAGTTTTGCAGCGATAAAACTACTATTTAGGTGACCCTCGTCTTAATTTCCACCAATCACAAAAGCGCAATTTTGAATTACAAACTGTATGACAGCACCTGTCAGAAGTTTTTTCGAGTTTACCCGCGGCAAAACTTGACAGCTACCAAAAATTTCAATTTATATTTTAATTGTACCATAAATAATTAAATTTGTAGTATTTTTTTATTAAAGTACCTATTTTCAGTTTTCAAATTAATACCTACATATTTATTATGTACCTATGCATGTATAATAGGTAGTATGTTTTGTAAGCTATGTGTATGCAGAATAACTGTTACTCATAAAATGGTCTTGTCAAATACCATTTGGGCATCTAATTTTTCCTGTGAAAAAAATCGAAAAACAAAATGCTAAGTAATACTTTTTAACAAAATGCATTCGTGCAGGTGGAAAAATCCTCGTCTTCGACTCAGATATTTGTTGCCACCAGCACTCATGCTTGTTGTTAAAATATTACTTGGCAACGTGTTTTATGATTTTTTTCGGAAAAATTAGATGCCTTTGGTCAAAAAAATCATACAGAAATTGAATCGGCAGTTAATTCTAATTTAAAAAAAAATATTCGTGAAATAGTCTTGCCGAATACCACTCGTGATAAAAATTTTCCTGAAGAAATTTTTGATTTTTATTTACTCAAGATTTTTCCTTGTAAATTTCACTCGTGGCATTAATTTGTGGTCTTAAAAATGAATGCCACTTGCGAAATTTACAAGAAAAAAACATTCGTATAAAAATCAAAAATTTTATCGGTAAAATTTTACCATCAAACGAAAATACGAAAATTTAATTATTATAATATCCTATGTCTATTGCAATACTCTTGTCAACTCAGGGTTAGGTACCAGATTCTGTCAAAAACAATCGGGACATATTGTATGAATTTATTTTTTACAAAATTTACATAATGATGCAATGCAAATTGTAAGTTTGACGTTGCTTAATAATTATTGACAGTCAACTACGAGTTTTAACTAATATTTTAACATTTGCCTAAAGATGGTCTAGAATCTATAAAGGCTATAGCCTCTATAGATAGGCCAATCATTGTCGCAATATAAATATAAAAAAAGTCAAAAAATCTAATGAATTGGTGTTAATAACAATTGTAATTACTTTCGTTTAATTGTTTTAATTTATTCAGCAGAATGTTTATTGATAAAAATTAAATGTGGGTAATTAAAATTGTTATTAATATAATATTGGCATACTAATACCTAAAATATATTTTGATAATAATTATTAATTATTAATAGTCGTTGGAAAAAGAGACTCGTGCGATAAAAAGTCATCGCTTCTCTTTTTACGATCCTTTTCAATACCTAATTTTTTGGTTCATTGGATGACGCAATCAAATAAAAATTATCTTGTCCGCAGACAAGACAATGGATGTCTTTTTACCGATACCGATAGAAATGTAATATTATTATTTTTATATAAATATAGCTTAACCTTGAATGACCCATTTCAAATACGAAAACCGCTATAATTTAATTTTCACAATATTATTTTCGTCTAAATTTGGAATACCTATGATGATGACTCATCTACAAGTTCATTGACGCAGAATTTTAGCGAAGGTAAAAAAACTTTCTTATAATTTCCCTAAATATCTCACAAAAATTGCCCATTAGTTAATAATAATAATAATTTATAGGCCTTAAGTCGTATTAAATTGTATTTAATATTTAAGTCTCTATAAAAATAAACAAATATTTTGGCGAATGTGGTATTAAAATAGGTTAATTATTATTAATTATTAATTACTAAACTAGTTTCCCTAAACAAATTTATCATTTTAAAATACTTATCTTTACATTTTATTTTTACATAAGCACACAACATTAAATTAATTTTTACCTACAGAGGGTAGTACTAAATAATAACCAAAAAATAAATAATTAGGACTTGACATCAAACAAAGTTAAACTTTTAACTTAAAAATAGTAGACATATTTCCAGGAAACTCTTATCTTAATAAAAATAATGAAAAATAATAAACTCACCCTATTTGATTGAAATTTTAACCAAAAATCAAATTTTCACTTGCTAATCCACTATTTGTGAACAATCCTGCATTTAAACTAGGAATAAGTCACCGCTACTTAAGGCACTTTTCAAAACAAGTCTGTTCATGTCAACGCGCACGCCGAAGCTGCTCAACTAATGATGATGGCTCCACCTGTGATTTCAAATTGTGCGCCATATCAGGGTTCATTCAATGCAGGTGCGCAACGTTGCCATCTGTTCATCTAAAGATTAGGTGGCAAATTTTTCCCAAATCATTTTAAAAACCTTTTATATCATTTTAACTTGTCGGTGCTTTTTACATTTGTCTATTTGCAAAAAAATTGTTTATATTTATCACTTCAAACAGAGTAGAAACGTGTTTTATATAATAATTGTCAACATTCTTTGAACCTACGACATTGCGAACAATCGTGCTTCGATTGTATTGCGTGAAAATCATTGGCGTAGTTAAACACTTGTTGTTAACTTAAAATCGATCATTTTTGACGGAGAAATATAGTAAACGCATAAATAACACCCTATGTTTATTAAAAAAATATACAAATAATATATTCTTTAATCTATTGCGTTTAAACCACAGACCTGTGGTTTAAACCGATTAAAATGAACCAATAAATAAATAAAATTTGGGCACGCCCATGTTCTCATCGATTCTCCGCCAAGGTCGAAGTTGTCAAAAAAGCAAAGTGGAAATAAAGTGTTGTTTTGAACCAAGATAAGTTGTTTAAACATAGTTTTTAATATTAAAGGGGATTTTTTGTAAAAGTATAAACCGTAGAATAATAGTAATTACGTTATAAAATGGCTGCCAATTCTAATGGACAGATTAAACAACGACCCAGTTCCGAAAATACAAAGAAAACCCCCATAAGCCTTTTCCAAAAACAATCAGAATGTTCTTATGTTTCTTGTTATTGGTGAGTTTAGTGTAAATTGTTATTTTTTTTATTTTACACTATCAAAAATCTCCTTTTTATATGACTTACTTTACTTAAATAGGCAATGTACCTACACAGGTTCCATGACCTAGTGTTAAAATAACGTTCTTAAAATACGTTTTTATTAATCTAGAGCTACGAATATTCAAATTAATTCAACTTATTAAATTTTAGACACTTAGGTATCATTGGAATTTGTATACCTACAGTATTTTTATTTTTGTTGTATACCTATAATATTTCTATTTCTTTATAGGTAATCTGTGCTTATTATAATAGGTACCATGGCAGCATTCAGTTTTCCCAAAGTCAAATTTAAATTTCTTTATTAATCCAAATTACAAAATTTTATACCTAGGACAAGTCAAAAAATAATAATAAATTCAACATAACAAGTATAAAGTTCCACTATAAAGTCCACTAAACACATTGTGTAATTATTAAGTTAACTTAAAATGTTTGGTTGCACTCAGTCTGTAAACCTACTTTTACCCTAAAAATACAGTATGTGTAAAATGATTTTTTTTTTCAAGCATATAACAATTTTTATATTATCACTCATAAGCCTATATAGAAAGACTTCATATTTGTATGCAGTTCAAAAGTCAAATTATTATACACTGCCATACAATAATGAAAATACCTACATTGAAATTACATAGGAAGTTTTGGTCAAGTTTAGCTCGAAATCAGCAAAGAAAATGTAAACTTACAGGTCACTGTTTAATAAATGCATGTACCGAGGCATGTACATAACATACTTTAAAAGTCAAACCTGACAAAATGTCGCAAACTCGATAATTTCAATTGAGTACAGTATACTGTAGGTATGACCACTTAATAATAATTAATGTAAGAATATATAGAAAATAAGAACATATTGTTAAGTAAAAATGTAATTAATGATCTTGGTAATGATGAAAGTATATAGTTTGTATACAAACTAACAATTAACAATAATTATTGTGTTTTCCAAAAGTCGCAAAGGTTATCTTTAATTTAATTTGTTTTGAATTTTATCATTTTATAATCAAAACAATATTTTTTAAATAATAAAATATTTTTGAATTTACCCTTTTATGTGAAATAAAAGCCTAATTTTAATTTGAATTTATTTATTATTTAGGTAAGTATATACCTACTAAATTATTAAAGATCATTGAATATTCATTTTATTCTAAACTGTAGTATAAAACTGGGAATTACAATTTTTTATTTAATTTTCAATTTAACTTTTATTTTTAAAAGTGGATAATTGTACAGATATGTTTTCAAGTTTATACAAAAATATAATTAGATAATGTGTTTAGGTAAAACATCTTGTGTCAAGCATAAAAAGACATTGTACTCAGTATCTTACCTTGAACAAATCAATCAATTTCTGATGTTATTATTCAAGCTATTGATGTTTGTTCAGGTCATTTATCTGCTTTAATTTTTAGAGCGATTTTGCTAATTAATTTTTATCTTCAATTTTAATACAAAAATCCGATTTCATCAGTTTTCGAATTCCTAAGCGTAAAAATCGGCAACGCTTCGTTAACACTGTTTACAAAACTGGAATATCTCTCTGCGAACTATTCAAAAAAGCTGATAAATTCCAATTTAAATTAAGAAAAAAACTTTTTTCTTTGAAAAATTTAATATTTCTATTAAACTCTTCGGACAATTTTCCTTTAACTAATAATTTATTAGGGATGCACCGGATTTGATTTTGGCCGGATTACCGGATGCAGTAATCCGGCTTCATCGGCCGGATTAACTCCGGCCGGATTTTGGCGGATTTCGCCGGAGTCGGCCGGATCTTACATATTATATTAGTTAAAAAATAATATAATTATACATATATATATATATATATATATATATATATATATATATATATATATATATATATATATATATATATATATATATATATATATATATATATATATATATCAGAGCTGGGCAAAGCACTAAAAAAAAGTGCTTCGAGCACCAAGCACCAAGCCCTTTGGAAAAGTAATTGCCAGCACCAAGCATCAACCACTTTGAAAACTTTAAGTGCTTGCAATTACCAATTACCGAGAAAAGTAATTGAAAAATTCAATTACCAAGCACCAATTACTCAAAAAGTGCTTGCAAGCACTTTTTTCTTAAATAAATTACCAATTACCAAGCACTTTTTAGTTTTCCAATTGCTTCCTACCCAATTAATTAACATCTTTATTTTAAAAATAAGAAACATTTTTGGATGATCGTTATATTAAAATAACCAAACCAAACCAAAGTTTTTTGTTTTTAATTTATTAGTCCACACAACATGACGCAAAACAATTAAAGTGAAGAAATCATCAAAAAATAAGTACAAATTATCTGCAAGAAGGAGAAAGGTACTGGCCAAGTCGGCCTTCAACCAACCAATCACATTAAAGCTTATGCTGCACCGCACACCGCATTAGATGATGATGAAACCACAGGGTTGTTACTAAAGGGCATTTCCCTCTAGAGTCTGCTCGGGAGCACTTTAAATGCTTGCAAGCCCTCAAATCTCATAGTGCTTGCAAGCCCTTTAAAGTGCTTGCAAGCCTTTTAAGTCCTTGCAAGCACTCAAATGGCTTGAAATGCGAAATTCAATTACAAATTACCAAGCACTGTATTTTAAAAGTGCTTGCAAGCACTGTGCTCGAAGCACTATTGTGCTTTAAGCACTTTCAAGTCAATTACTGCCCAGCTCTGATATATATATATATATATATATATATATATATATATATATATATATACGTATTATATACGTATACGTATTATTATAGCTATTTTTGTGACATCGGCTGTTCTGGTTTTGGCTTCGCCTCGATCGCAAACAGCTACGATTTGTCCTAAAAAACATGATTTTTAGGTACTGGTTGCAAACAACATTTTTTTGTTCTAGGTCCATATATTCAAATTTTTAAATAGAGTAAATACCTATTTCTCGAAATTAAGGTTATTGACAGTGACAGTGAGTCACTGTCAGTGACAGTTATCGAATTTTATTTTTAATTGTTGTATTGCAATGATTCAAGAACCATTTTGCAAAAGTTTCCATAGCAACTTTTTCGTACTAGTACAAAAAAAGAATTATTTTACGGACTCAAATGAGTTCGTTAAATAGCTATTTTAGGGGAAAAAACAAAAACATATATATTTATCAATAAATAAAAGTTTTTAAAACCAATAATATATTAAAAAGTATATCTTTATAAAACGTTTAAAAAAATAATAAATAGGTAACATAAAAATAAATAAATAATATTTATTAATATACCTAATCTAAAAGTTATAACAATTAAAAAACATAGGTACAATAATTATAATAGGTATAATACAACCATCTGAAAACCACTGCGCATACGTACGGCGTCTGTTACTTAGTGTGCATAGATACGATCACCTGTTACCTGCGCATAGCCGATTTCTTCCCGAGAAAGGTGAACAACTCGAATTTTTGCACTATAACTTAAGGACTTCGTTATCTTATGTTCGCTTAAATCATGAAGTTTAATCCTTAATCTATTTTTAAATTATTTCTAAAAAAATTGTTTGTTACTTGTAAAAGAATATATATTTTTTTTATAATAAACATTTGAAAAAATATTTTATTTTTAATTTAAAAAATCCGGCCACAATCCGGCCGTTGTTGCCGGATCAGTTTAAAAATTTGGCCGGAGCCGGATATGCTGCCGCATAGGCCGGATCGGCCGGAGGCAGTAGGTGAGCAGTAACTCCGGTGCATCCCTATAATTTATAGCTTTTACTTTAATGCTTTTATGAATTAATAAATGTTAATACTGTTTGCATGTTACGCCGTTCGTGAAGCAACAGATTAAAATTGGAGCAAGTCGAAAATCGATCCTCCCGAGGTAAAACGATTTTGTACGCGTGAATGTGTATAATCAAAACCTAAATATAAGGGAGCAAACAACACTTCAATTAAAATATTATTAACGTAAACATATTATTTTGATTAATCCCTTTTGTGTAATGTCATGTTTTTTAGATATCTGCATTTTTTACAATAGAAATAATGAAAATAATTTTATTTAACATAGGTATTATGATTATAAATTTAGACGCCTTTTTCTTTATTAATCCATGTTTTGTAGAAAAGTGTTAAAATTGTCATGGTGTAAAACGTATAATAATAACACTGTGCTAGTTCAAAAATCTAACAAGCGGGGCACCAAGGGGGATTACCTAATTTGAGCACGCTGAATCTAATGGTGTTTCACTAACAGTTTCTTTTAAATATGTATCTGTCTATACATTTATTCCATCGATTTTTATCAATTTATAATCAGTAAATGGTTTTAAAATGAGATAAATAATGTTCTTTTGTGATGCTTGGATCCACAGTTTAAATCTAAAATATCTCGAAAACAAGAGCTAACCTAAAAAAGAGACTAGTACCATTGGATTTAGCGTATTCGAATTAGGTAATCCCCCTATGTGCCCTGCTTGTTAGAAAAAAAAAAGTTTCCGATTCGAGCACAGCGTAAATATTACTAATTAAAATAAAGCATATGGATTATACTTATCTGTGATAGATAAATAAAGCAAAACGTAAATTTTTAACTAAAATTAGGTCGTTTCGTTCAAGTGAAGAAAATTAAAAACAAAGAAATATCTTTTACGTACAAAATTTAATATGTAGAATAAAACGACTTTTAATAATAACTTTATTATTAATATTACTATGAGCTTTTTTGTTTTGTTTTCTATTATTGATTAGTTTTGAGCATTAATATTTAATCAATTTTTAATGTTAAACGCGCTTTTATGTTTTTGTTTTTGTTAAGCAAGAAATATTTAAATTATTTTCTATTTATCCACTCGCGATTGTAGCGCAATGGAAAAAATAGCCACTTTTAATTATAAACGGTATATTATTTTTGTTTTTCTTGGAAATAAAATTGTGGGTATTTGTTTGTGGTTTTAATTATTAATTGTAAAGATTTTGTAGTCAAATACATATTTCCACAAATAATTAAAAGTTACTATTTATAATATTTTAGTGAAGAAAATGTGTTCAAATTGGCCCAAGATGTGGCATCTAAACACTCAGGCGAGTTACACAAATGTTTTGTAACTTTTGTATCAAACCCCAGCAGAACTGTGCCTTTATGGAGGCAAAAAGCAGGAAAAGATGAAGACAGGCTTGTAATCTGGGTAAAAATAATACCTATATTTTGTTAAATTTTTTTTAAAACAATTTTTTCAGGATTACCATGTAATCTTCCTGTATCAACCTGAACCAGAAAAATGTTTGGTTTATGATCTGGACTCGGAACTACCATTCCCCACATACTTTCACAAATATGTCACAGAAACATTCAGAACTGATCAAATACTAAAGGCGGACTATTTTAGGTAATATAACTAAATGAAGTTGTTTATTTAAAAACATAAACATAGGTATGATTTTTTCCAGATTTTTTAGAGTGGTTCCAGCAAATGAGTTTCTTCTGGAATTTGCTTCTGATAGAAGGCACATGAAGAGACCTGATGGTACATGGATTAAACCACCACCAAATTATCCAGCCATCACAACACCCAGTAAGTTTTTCGATATTAAAATAAAATTGTTGTCAGTATTTTTCTTTCTACCTGCTTTTCGACCCCTTAAATCGTGTTTTCTCACTAAACATATTTTCCCATTCCACATAAAATATGTGATTTTTTCATAGATGATGTAAACGCGAAAATGTTTAAAAATTTGTTGGATGCCAAATATTATTTTTTAAGTAAAACTTTTTTGCGGTCGGGGTAAACCAAAAGATGCGGAAACGGAAACGCTCATGTCTGCGGTGTATTAGAATATTCGAACAAAACTTCATAAAATTTAAAAAATAGGACAAATTCGAACTCCAAGTCAAAATTTAAAAATGGTAGGAAATTCTTCGAAATTTTCGATATTTACGAATTTTTTAAATTTTCAAAAATTCCAATATTTTCAAAATTTCAACAAATTTTAAAAATGTTTGTAATTTGTGTGTGTTACCAAAAAAAATAATTTTAAAACGTCAAAACATAGTCTATTCAAATACAAGCCAAACAAAGAAAAAAATCCAGACGCGGTGGACAGCACGGTTCTTATTGGTCGATAATGTGGGCGTGATTCGGATTGTGTTTACATTTAGTTTTAAACCGATTTTAGGAAATTTAGAAAATTTTTGAATTGCAAATAGGGCCCAACTGTTTACTGTTAAGATTATCTCTACTTTTATAAAATTTTGCTTACGTATTTCGTATTTAATGTAAAAAAAGAAGAATATGTTTGACAATTTGAATGCCAAAATAATATATCTGTACCCCAGAGCCAAACTGAATTAAGTCCACTTTTTAACTTCAGAAACTAAATTTGTAGCGCCTCATGATAACCTACTTTAAACGCATTTAGAAAGTTTAACTTTTTTACCTAATAAAGATTAATAAATAAAATGTATTTTAATACAAAATATTTAATATTTTTATTTAAAACGTAAATACGTATGTGCAGTGTCGCAGACAGTGGCTTCTACATTTTTGATGAAATTTAATTATCCCGTCCAAAAAAAAAAAACAAATCAAATTGTGTGTAAAAACGTTTTTTAAGATATTTAATAAAGTAAAAAACAAATTTTTATCTTTAACACTGGGTCATTATCAACTTTTGTATAAGGCAAATTTAAATAAATCGGATTGCTTTAAATTGATTAGTTCAGTCGGCGTCCGTAATAATAAAAAATTGTGAGTAAAAAGTACTGTTATTAAATTAAATACTATTGCAAATATGTTTATTATACGTGTAATAATTAAGCTTAAGCTTATAAGCCTAATAATTACGGTAGTTTTTACTTACAATTTTTTATTACGGACGTTACAAAAATTGTAACGTGGAATGACTGAGTCTGCTGTTGCTCTGTGTCCCATTACTTTTGAACAACCCTGTATAGTTGACAACCTGTAGGTATATAACATATTTTTTAATTTTTAGAAAACCCTCACAATTTGGAAGACTTTATTCAAATGGAAGCCACAAAAGGTCCAGGTCAGGTATTCAGTCTAACACAGTTTGTACAACGATTTTACAAGCCAATGGCATAGTTCATAATAATACAAATATCTAAATAATAATAATAATATTATTAAATCTAAGTCAATTTAACCATGGGCTCTTATACATGTGAGTTGTAAAAAACAAAAATAAGATCCAAATGTCATGTTTTTAGTCTAGTGTTTGTGCTTCAATTTTAAATCTCTGCACATTTTTCTATCTTCACCTTTTACTACTATTTACTACATATATTATATACTCTTTATTCCTGGACGGCAGAGCTATAAGATGCACATAAGTAATCTAAAAATGAACTCTTAAGTAGGTAATGTACAAAGTACCAAAGCACATTAAATTACAATGTATGCATAGAAGAAAATAGTAGGTACTAGTAAAAGTACTTTTGAAAGGATAAAATATTCCAAACAATATACAAAGTAAATAACAAAAAAATTATAAAAACAAAAAATAGCACTTTATTAAAAGTGCTTTTAAAAAAATGTTCATGAGTACTTCATACAAGTGTTCAAAAATTCAAAACTATGCTCAAAGTACTTAAAGTACAAAATTTAAGTACAGCTCTGCTGGATGGCCATTTTTTAAATCAAAATTTTAAAATATTCTAATATATGGTGGATTTAAAGTAATAAATTAATCCAGATCTAGACTAATAAATGTAAAATGGCCATAAGTAGGTATACTTAGTAAGTGTTTTAACATTTTATAATATCTAGTATATTTACATCGTTTATACATATTTATATCATGGATTTTCTAAAATTATTTAAAAATATACTGTAGTTTTTTCTGAAATATACATTTTATTAAAAATTTTATAATGCTTTAATTATTGGTAAAATAAATTAGCTGTTTTATATTTTTTTCCAATGATGTTAATTTATTTTTTAATGGTAGTCTAGAAATTTACATAGATTAATTAAATTTTTTGTTAAGGGTTATTGGTTTATTATTTATTTATTTTTAATCTTGGGCAATTAAATGTATTTTAAGATTAAAAATAAAAAATAATAAACAAATAATTATAATTAAAAAAATAGACTAATACCATATTTAAATAACATGATTTGTTTATATTTTTATCTCTAGGTAAATTCTAGTACAAAATTTGTATTTAATATACAGATATACATAGATAAATTTATTTATTAATAGTTCAATATTTTTCAGGAATATTTTTAGTAAAAGCCAAAATGCTTTTTTTACTATTTTCAGTTTTCTAATCCGTGTTACATTTTCAACATTTCGGAATATATTATTAGCTGAAATTTTCAATAAATTCCTTTGGTTTGGGGTTAATTGTATTAAAAACTCTATTTAATAAAGAAATATATTATTTACAGAGATTTGATATACCCAGTACTTCAAAAACTGCGTTTTGGACTACAAAAAATAATCTTAAAAAAACCTTTACCACTTATATTCCTATCCCAGTTATGTTTGTGCTTTAAACTACTTATATTCCCTTAAACTTTCCATTCGGTACCTACTTTAATATTATTAAGACTGCACATTTGCCTTCCATTGTCTTATACGCAAAAGTTTATTCCTTTATTTTTACAAAGTTAGGAATAAACTTATTATATTATATTATTTTTTATATGATATTTTATTGCTCTCTATTTATTAAAAATTTTTGTGTGGATTTGAAATTTAAGGAAAAAAAATTGTATAAATTAAAGGGCCAATTAATTTTTACAAAAATCTTGAATTTATCATTAAAAAATGCGTATTGGCTCAAAGTTTTAAAGATTTAAGTTATATTTAATAATAAATTATTTTAAATTTATAAGGCCTAAATGTAAGTGTTAATTGTGATTCTAGCTTAGTCATTTTTGTATTGTGTGTTATTCTATCATAAATGTTAAAATAAAAAATCTTAATAAAAAGCACATTTTAATATGTTATAAGGAATTTTATTTATTTATCATTATTATTTTTATACCTTTAAACCCTTAACGTGTTTTTATAATTTAATTTTATTAAATTATACATAAAGGGCATCTTAAGATATTATATTATAGGATTCCTGGCCCAGGATTCCTGGCTTTATCTAATCTATGATTCCTGGGTTCTAGTTAAATAAAATAAAATTTTACAATTTTGACAGTAGCGCCATCTATGTTTGGGTAGCAGTAGCCCGAAGTACGGTTACAGGTATCTGTTTAATGGATCTTGTGATCTTTGGAAGCTCGATCGCAGGCAGTTGTCAGCGACAGCTAGGGTGGGGATAAATATGTCAATGGATAATGTTTATGTCAAAGTTGCTGCAAATGGCAACTCTTTTCGTTTCTAAAAATGCGTGTTTTATTAATTTATGTGTTAGTGAAGTGCAACCCAAGTGTAAATGTTAAATAAACCGTTCGTATTTAATTAGTAATAGTGCAAAATGGCTTCAGGTGATATGATTGAAGCTATTGAAGTTTTGGATTCATCATTGAACATGAATAACACCAAGGATTCTGTTTTCAATGATTCAGGGGGCTGGGGAGTCTGATGGTGAGTTTAAACTCCTATTTTTTTTACCACTATAACCCCCAAAAGCATAATTACTATGGTGTTTCGGGGTCACCAATCATGATTCATATTCTTTGGAATTAATTGTGTTACTTGGCCTTTTAAAAGTTTGCAATAAATTAATTGTTAATGAATTTTCTGTGTAATTCTAATTCTATATGTACTTCTTTTGCAGATAAGGACAATACATTTCTTAACAAATCTCAAGATGTAAGTACCCATTACAGTGAGTATACTCACTCTTTCCTTAATGTCCACATTAATAAAAAGGTTTTGTATTTTTTAAGCTCTTCTGCTAGTAGGTATTCCATTAATAAAATATTGTTTGCTATTTATTTTTGATTTGAAAGTCTCAAGTGATAAACAAAGATTTATCCTACACATTATATCATTTTAAATATGTATAAAAGTTTTTGAATGTACCTACTTAGTAATGTTTACAAATTTAGAAAGTAGGTTTTGTTACTGTTAAAAAATAATGAAATATGCAGAAGTGAAATTAAAAACAATTACTTATTAATGTTTTAGAAAACCTATATTACCAAACAAAAAAATGTACCGCCACCCTATGGTGTTACAAATTTAAAATTACTTAGTTTAATTAAAATTGTATTAAACATTTTTTATTGCTATCTTTTTAAATGGCTACATTTTAAAATGCTCTTAAACATTCTGTAGGGTTCTACAACAATTTCATTTCCTGTACATAGGTATATTAACTAGGAAATATTTTTCTTAAATAGGTAATTTTTAGTAAAAAATACACAGAAAAAAGTATACAAAAATGATGAAGCCTTGAAAAAAACAAATTTTAAATATTATTTATAAGTAATGATAATTTAAAATAACTTTTAATTAGATGTTTATATGCAAATATGGTGTATTAGTAGGTATAATGAACTTTAAATTAGACAAATAGGTAATTTATTTATTTATTTTGTTTCATTAATATATTATAGGTAACTAGTTATCAATGTTTAGCAGATAAAAATAAAAATGTAGGAAAGCATTTATTTTCAATGCTAAAACCTCAAGTTCACATGATTACACTATCAAAATAAGTACAATGTTGCTTAACCAACAATTCCAATTTGTTCAAGGAACTTTATGGCTTAAAGTTTATGAATTTTTCATAGATAAATAATTAACATAAAAAACGACTTACCAAAATTATTAAAAAATGCACTTCTTGACACTGTAATGGAACTGTAAAAATAAAGATCACCATCTTTGCTTTGGTTTGCTGCCATTAAGGGGTGATTCATCACATAAGTATTTTTCCCATTTTCATAGTCAAGATATTTCTTTTGTGCAGCAGTACAGTACAACTCAAACTGTAACATTAAATATTGTGTTAGTTTTTATGATTATAAAAGTTGGAACATTTTATAAAAAGTTGGAACATTTTATAATTATACAGGGTGTAACATAAAGGTTGGGAAAAAAATTAATTACATAATTAAGTCCAAGTACGTTTTAAATAATTCTGAGATATTTGCATTTAAAGTTAAAAATTAAGTAAATGTAGGTATTAATTTTATTGTAAATTTTGGGTTATCAATTATTGTTAGGTATTCACACTCGTTGCAAGATTAATTCTAATTCAATAGAAATGTGTAAGAAATATCTAACCAAAATATACCTAATCATTAATTTAAAATTCATTGATGATTATTTTATTGGCAAACGATTGAAATCTCAAAAAAATTAATTTAATTTCGTCGCCTAGTATGTATGTATAACACCATATTTGGATAAAGATTTTTAAATTCATTTGTAGGTATTATTTGGGGTAAATAAAATTAGCCTCAGGGTCAGTTACCTTTTGGTGCTACGTGACAGCATGAAAACAAATTTATTTATTTTGATGAGACAATTATATTGTTTTATGCCCATTGTTTGACATAGTAAATTGATATTATTAATAGCCATGTATAAATCGTTTATAGAGAACATCGATATTTTAAAAGGAATATTATGTTTTATGTACTTTTACTTTTTTGTTTTCGACAAAATTTTAATTAATTCATTAAGTGTTGCATTATAATTTTTGCATACTATTTGATTATATAATTTGAATTAATTTGTAATAGAATATTTTTGTAAAAACCTCTAGACAAAAGAGTGGCATTGAATAACAGGCCCGCATAAACGAAGCACTCGGCGAAAGTGTTCTAGAATTCCACTTTTGGCGCAAGAGAAGAGGAAGCGTCATTGTTCATCTCGGTTTATTAATTTTATCTCTTCAGTTTAACTATTGTGGAGGGAGCGGCTCATAAACGGAATTATTTAGTACCTACTTAACCCTAGGGTTAAGCTTTGAAACTATATCATAAAGAGTAATTTAAGGTTTTTAACAACCTTAAGGCTAGTGCTTGTTTAAAGGTTGTAGGTAGACAATGTTTGTTGAATGAATCCTTTCTTTCATTCCACTTAAAACTGTCACACATCTAAAAAATATAAAAGGAATATTTTTTTGTTTATTTTATTTAATATAATGGTAATTACTCTCTAAAAATGAAATAGTCAAAATTCTACTATTTGAATTAGTACCAGCATTTTTTACTAATAAAATAGTCGTTTTCACTTTTAAATAGGTAGTTATTTTTTACTACGTAAATAGTTAAAGTTTGACTAATTTAAGATTAGTCACCATATTTGACTATTTCTGACAGTTAAAAGTACCTAACTAATTTCTTTAATCGTTTACGGCCAACAACAGCGTTTACGGCCAACAACAAAGTATTATTTGAATGGTTAAATGGTTAAATGACCCATAAAACAAATAAAGATGCAAAAAGTGCAAATATTTTTTTGTTTATTTTATTTAATATAATGGTAATTACTCTCTAAAAATGAAATAGTCAAAATTCTACTATTTGAATTAGTACCAGCATTTTTTACTAATAAAATAGTCGTTTTCACTTTTAAATAGTTATTTTTTACTACGTAAATAGTTAAAGTTTGACTAATTTAAGATTAGTCACCATATTTGACTATTTCTGACAGTTAAAAGTAGGTAACTAATTTCTTTAATCGTTTACGGCCAACAACAAAGTATTATTTGAATTAAATGCATATATGCATTTAATTCAAATAATACTTTGTTGGTATATACCTATATAGAGGTATATATACCTCTCCATGGTTAAATGACCCATAAAACAAATAAAGATGCAAAAAGTTTAGCTCAAAAGAGCAACACAAATAATATATTAAACTTTAAAATATTATGAACAATATTTATTGACAAATAAAATTGATTTTTATAAGAGCGGCTGACAGCCGAATGCGTTATGAGGTTAGCTTGACAAACTTGTCAAGTGACAGACCTGAGTTCAATCCCAGGCTGGGTCAAAACTTTTTTTAAATTTAAATTTACTAATTTGACTATTTCATTCAGTGGAATTTGACTAATTATTAGTGACTGCTTTTTCGCTATGACAATTAGTCAAATATGACTTATAATTAGTTATTTTTGACTAATTCATTTTAAGAGAGTATACATTTTGTTTTTTCACTGTAATTGTTATGGTCTTACTCTTGATAGAATCAAAGTTTTCACACTTGTATAGTGATTACATAATAATTAACGCCACTCGTCCAAAATTGTTTTTTAATATTAATTGAAATCAGTTGTTTTTTAAAAATATAGCCTAACATATAATAATGGTCATAAGTTTAGTTTTTGGTAAATTACATTTAGTTCCAATAATGGAAATGGCCTAATTTTACTTTACAACCTTTTGGAAAAGATTTGTATTTATTTTAAATCTCTTTAGTTCTGAAAATTAGTGGGACCTTTTGTATAATATAGAATATTTTAGAAATAAAACTAATCCTGTATTATTGGAAATGTGACCAGTAGAAAAAATACCTTGAATTCTCAGATTATATATTTATTTTTACCTGCAAACGTAAAGTTATTAGGAACAAAATTTAAAAATAATGACTTTCAAACTATCGAGATAGCAGACACAAAACGTTTATTCCAACTTTGTTTTTATCAGGCATCAATAGAGCAAACTTTTTCCGATTCGAACTCCTAATAATACACACTTTTGTAAAGTGATTCTGACAAAATCATTCTGTCTCTTTTTTATTTTTAACAATGAAAAGTCATGTATTTATGTTTTTTTAAATTTTAGCTCGTATTTTCATGTTGGAAACAGGGTAATTACGTAGTCAATTAATAACCTGATTAAACAGTCACTTGGCAAGGTAATTTTATATCTTAATTTCCGTAAAATTTCCACTTTAATTTCAATTTATTGGCATCGTTTTCATTAAATTGCAATTTGTGGTAAGTACCTAACTTTTTATCGTCTATTAAAGTTAGGTCAAAAGCCTTCCAAACTAATAAATTAAAAATAAGTCATACAAAATCACATAATTATTGATAATATAAATTAATAAACATTAAGTAAACGTAGAGTCCTTAATTTAGTATATTAATATTTATTAAAGTTCTTCAGATTTATTATTGATTGCTTGATTTAAAATGGGAGCCTCTATAGACAGCACGTAGGCACACCCGACCCCATTGTGCCAACCCCCTTTTGGTCCAGCTTTGCCTCAGCTTAGGAGTCCGCAGCTTTTAAGAAAAGCGCAGACCTGCTCTTGTTCCAGATATCTGTTCCCGAGGTGTCTTAGTCTTCATTTGAAAAGTGCGTCGCATTTACAGACTATGCTCGGTAGTTTCGTCTACTTCACTGCAGTACCTACACTCTGTCTCATTGTTTAGTCCGGTTTTGTACAGGTGAAATCTGACCGCCCAGTGCCCTGTTAGGTCGCCTGAGATGGCTTTTAGTTTGTTCCTGTTTAGTTCCAGGAGCCTTCATGCATCTTTGCCATTTGAACGACCTTGACTGGCTAAGGTCTGGTTATTCTTGAAACTGGTTGTTAGTCCAAGTCTGATCTTTTTGAGCAAACTGTTCCAGTGTTTTCATGCAGTCAAGGAAAGAGCCCGGAGTGGTACCTGAGTGACCTCTTTTGAGACTCTCCTGAACACAGATCAATATCGCATAGAAAAAAAGGTGTCCTAATAACGTCAATAATAAAAAAATAGTATAAACCAGGACAAAACCTGCAAAACCAGGACACATTAGCAAAAACCAGAACCTGTCCTGGGTAAACCAACACGGTTGGTCACGTTATATATACCAGTTCCCAGAGACCCGTATATATAATAGATGCAGTGGCGAAGCGTGAAATTTTTGGATGGATAGACAAATATAGGGTTAGATAAAAAAGTGTGGTATAAAATTGGGTACTCAAATATACAATTGGGTCTTCTTAAATAGACTATTTCACCTATTCACAGAGTAATATTTAATAATTTAAACAACGCAAGGCATTGTCTATGGTTCACCGAAACAAAAAAACCCCAAGGGAAAGAGTGCATTTTTTTATGCTTCAAAATTAAAATCAAACAATCAACTAATTTCATGATCAAAATGACGCGTACGGCAATTGATAGCTACGCTGCAGCGCGCTGGTCTATTGCGTTAGACAAAAACAGGTGCCTGGCAGGAGATTCGTTTGGTTTTGCCGGATTTCGGGATAAACCAGGCAAAACAAATTTAAATTTGACTACCCTAAGCTCTTTTACGTATTTTCTTAAATAAAATAATGTTATGTCACAATACGTATGTAACTAAAATATGTTTTAAATAAACATGAAACAATTTAACATGTGTTTTAGAATAACTAAAGTGGGAAATAATCTTTTAATTGGTTAAAATTATTTTGAGCCTCTTTCGGTTTGAGGAGCCAGTCGTTTCTTAAAAGGAAGGCGACCTTTTATCTTTTAGGGGGGGGGCTAACGTATTTGGCATTGCGTACCCTCCTGTGAGAAGGGTTTCAGCTGATAGTATCGTCCAGGACCTTGCATGCCCAATTCCCCCCACCCCTACTCATTGACCCCAATCGTGAAGTCTAAATGAGGCTTTCCAGGCCCATGCCTCCACAAGGATATGTTGGGGTTGGGGTGATTCTAAAAGCTCCAATGTAGCCAAGTCTTTGAAGCTTATCCCGCTTTTTCCTGTAGGTGGATTTGCAGTTGACGATGTAAACCTATTAGGTAATAGCAGAAATAAATTATTATTATTATGTTTAAAGCCAGTGGACTATATGGGATTGTAAGCCCCAGGTGTGTCCAATGGACCAATGAACCTTCTGCAGGTCCAAAGGATAGCAGTAGCCCTTTGGACGACCCTGTGATCCTTTCAGGTCAACCTGGAGTCAATAATGATTCCTAGGTATTTGACCGAGAGATCATGATCGATGCACCACCTCTCGACTTACTAAGAGTTGCATAATCTCTTTAATGATGTTGGGTAACCTTTCAACCACCAGCCTTGAGTGTACTCATCTTCCTCGTTTAGAATACGAAGTAGCCCATACAGCACTAGACACCACAGCAATGGCGATAGTACACCTTCCTGCTGGAATTCTCTGGCTACGGTTAAGCTGAATGTGCTTTCCATCTATCTTGTAATCATGACCCCGATCCATTTGGTAGTGGTGTCCTCTATGCCAAAGCTATCCATGTCCACCAGTTTCTTCAGCGTTTTTTAAGGAAATGGGTCTATAGTCCTTTGAAGTTTCGTAGTTATCAAAGATCTTTTGTTACAATGTCCATCTGATCCCGCGCTAAAGCTAGCTAGTAAAGCGTGCATTGGTTCGAAAATTTGCAGAAAAGTATTTCCAGGAGGCATCTAAGTGCCTCCCTTGCAGTAGTGTTGTAGCTACCGGGGGAAAGCCTTAGTGACCCTAGCTCTCGTCCTGGATCCTTTGTGAGAATCTTGTAAAGCCTGGCAACTGCAGGAAGCTCGTCCACGCTGTCACAGAACTTCCTCCACGATTTTCTTTTAGGTCTTTTATGAGATCTTTATGGGCGAATTTTCGTTAAATGTACATTTTGTATATACACTGGCGAAAGAAATTAACGCATCACCATAAATTTATCATTATTTTGTTGTTAAATATTTTCCGAACCAATTATTCGATTTTAATGCTCTATTTTTGGATTGTGTTAAGACTCCTAGAGAATGTTGTTATGACTTTAGTTATTTTATAAATCTTTGTGTCTTTTATATACGGGGTGTTATACTAATACTTGATTTTTTCAAAATTACTTTACTTTCTGTAGAAAATTATCTATATGGAAAGGAATAAACCAATCAAAGCACGGCATTAATGCCGGAGAATTCTCCTGGGTGCAGTGTGCAGTATTGCTTTTTATAGAGATCATTTTCTAGTAAGTCCTAAATTTCATGAAACACGCTTCTTGTATAGTTTGTACTTTTTAAGTTTTTAAAAATGTGCTAAATGCACAGTTATCATATTCTAAACTGCCAAGGACTATGATATGTAATTAATTAAACATGTATGGTTTCCGGGGATGCAAAATAAAGAATTTGATTTGAAATAGTTTGACAGAAATAATTAAATAAAAAGGCTACCAGGCTCTAATATTTTAAGTGCAACTAACAAACTAATTCAATATATTACATACGAAAATTACACAGGAAACAAGCTGGACACCGCAGCAGGAATTGTTATTAAATTACTTATTTAATGGTAGAAAAACAAACATCGTTATGCAAGGAAAAAATTGCAACATGCTAAAGTAGGGCCTTACATTAAATAAAAACACTGGGAAATGGAATTGCATTAAATTATGAGAAGTTATTACATCGAATATAAAAAGAGACAATGCAGTTTGCGAATCCCCGTGTTCAGTTCGATGATTGAAATGCTTGTTTAAATAAGTAAGTCTTAATCAAAATTCGATTTATAATTTAAGTCTTTTTAATTAGTTTTTTAATAATTTAGTTTACATTTGGTCAGGCACAAGTAGGCTAGACTAAAATAGCACAATTGAAATCAATAGTTTATATTGTGAGTTTCAGTGTCTTGGGACAATTAAGGATAATTACCATAAGGGTGTCCAGTACTACATCATTTTCTGTAGAAAGTAAAGTCGAAAATTTTAAGAAAAACCCACAAGTTTTTCAAACATAAATTAAGGTGATAAAGATTTGAGACAAGACTCCTTCTTTTTCAACTTTTTATCACCCTTAAGGACCAAAAACTAAATGTTTGCTCTAGAGAGAAGTGCTCGTAAGAACGTTAATTTAATTTTCCAAGCTCCATCACGAAGTCTAAAACACTCTAACAAGAAAAAGGTTTATGTGTTTAATTAACAAACAAATGTTTTTTTCGCTCATCTGCCATTCCTGAAAATCCTCTCAACTACAATAGCTTGTTGAAGTTCTTTTTGCATGCAAAACTGCAGTAACTAATCTGTTTATAAAGCATTGATATTAATAGTATGAAGGTTTTTAGCGGATAAAATACAGCCTTTAGGTAATAACAGTGTTTAAAGTAAAGCCAAAATTTATTGCAATCTTGGGCCCCTACGACCTTTGAGTCTAGCTTATCACATTTAATTAAAAAATCAAGCCGTTAGAATTACAATCAATTAATTACACTGTAGCTACATGTAGGGAGGTGAAAATATCGCAGCTAAACGCTCGGACACGTAAACTTAATTTTTGGTCGTAGATTACGAATCTGTGTTTGGTTTAGCTGTATCCGGTCAAAATTCAAAGATAATGGAAACACCCTGTATAAATTTAAACACCCTGTGTAAATTTTTAAAAAAATTAAATTTGGCGGGACCCACACATCAGTTCCAAATTAAAAAAATAACAAATTCTTGCAAAATTTGAAGTTAATTGATCAAAAGATACAGGTGTCCCTAAAGGTTTTTCTTAGATAATTTAGGAAATTTGAAATGTTTTTGCTGATTTTTTTATTGAGTATAATTGAGGATATTATATTAAATGAAATAAAAAGCATAAAACTGTTGGCATAAGAGATGAATTATATTATTTTACAAATTATAATATACCAGTATACAGTGTGCCCCGGATCGGATTTCCAATAGGAAAAACTTTTTTAGACCTGATACCGAGTACGGATTTGGAATCTACGACCAAAAATTATGTTTACGTGTCCGAGCTTTTAGCTGTGATATTTCAAGTTAAAAATTTACCTACAGTGTTATAATTGTATTATTGGAAATTAAATGTTATTATAAATACAATATATTTTTTACGTAATTTATTTGTCTTTGATCCAAAGGTGCATGGTTGCCTATTGCCTAATAGGTAAATTTATTTTTTCAATGTTATAAAAGATTTTGCTTGTACAATAATTTTTAATAGGTATGTTTATGTTGCACTTACACGTGCTGTTATAATTAGTTAAAACTGTAAAACTATAAAATAAGGACCTAATTTGCAATATTTTAATTAAATGTCAGGACCAGTAATTATATTTTAATTATTATAAGTATACCGAGGATTATATTACGTAAGAGACCTGTACAAAGTAAATTTATTTTGCAATGTACATTCGTGTTTAGTTTGCTCACTTTGAAATTTATGTTACATGCGATACCAAACTGATTTATTTCATGGTAATTGCCAGCAAGTAAATAATTGAAATTAAAAGTCCCATAAAATAGGTTTTAATCGAGTTATTTCACAGGTCTAATATAATTTAAAAAAATCTAAAAAACATAGTACTCAATAGCTTTACTTTAGGGTCTAAACTTTAGACTCTATAATATTATTACCCTCCTTTTAAATATTTGATAACTTTTTGAGACTTATCTACTACTATAAAGAATTTAAGTAAAACAAAAATAAACTACAATAAAAAACATAATTTACATATTTAAGAATATACTAGAAATGTGCAATTAAAATTGTAATATTTAATAATTGCTATATTTAGTAGTGAACTTCAACCCAGCGTACTTGATGTCGAAATAATAAAAATTAACTTAATACCTAATTGTTTTGTTTAATTTTTTTTTCAGGGACAGAAAACTCTTTCCAATGTGGCCAAAACGAAGGCGCAAAGGGAGAGAGACCGCGAACGCAAGATTGGTCATCGGAGGGTCGGCGAGGGTGGAGAGATTACGTACAAAAAAATCCAGACTAGTCAGATTATGGGTTCTATTCAGCTAGGTAAGTCGAATGGTGTGACACATGGATATATTAAGAACGAAAAGAGCGATCGTCAAAATCGTATCATATCTATATGATGTTTAAGATTGATTTTGATTTTTAAAAGTGTTTTACTTTTACTATAAGGCATTTGGCGCCCTCAAAACTGAACTGATTGTCCAGGTAGTACAGAAATAAAAAATGTTTAATTGAACGACATATTTATTATGCTAGAGATAATGCGCATTGTCTCGAGTGTAATGCAATGTTTTTCTACTCCAATTAAGTATTTTTTATTAATGACAAAATGTTCCTCGTGTATCAGTTTCCACCTCACTTTTCCCAATTTAAAAACCGATTGGTTTAAATCACAGTAAATATTAAAATTTGCCAGTCACTGATGCCTAACAACGTGAATAATGAATTCAATATTTCCGTTTTAATAATGGTTAACCCGGGTTAACCATAATTTGGGTTTTTCGTTTTAAACTATGATACAGTGTTATATTTAATTAATAAATAAATAAATAATGGTAATAACCATACTTACGAAAAAAAAACCAAATAATTTCAATAATATGCAATACGAGTAAAATAAAATGGTTTGAAAATAAATGAAAATACACTTCGCGTCAAATTTAACGCACCACTAAAAATTTGCCACAATTTTAAAGTTGATTTTCTCGCGAACAGTTAAACCGAATTTGGTAGTTTTTATTTTAAATTGTAGGTTTATTTTTTGGTTATGATGCCTTTATTAAAATATTATATACAGGGTACAAGGGTAATAATAAGTTTTTTCCTGTAAATTTGAAACGCCCTGTGGGTTGTACCAGCTATAACAGCAAATGTCTCTTATAATCAAACTATAGCCCCATCTTCATTTTGTTTTTTAATTCACCGCGTTATCTTTATTTTTAAAAGAAATATAAAGTTAAATATTAAAGAACTCCAGTTAATAAAAAAAATGTAAAAAGAACGATTGTAACAATAACAATAGAAATATGAACAAAATCAATAAAATTAACATTAAAGAATATAAATATCGCATATTTCCTCCTCTACTTCTAATTAAGGCTTCACTTCGAAGGCTCATCAATGACATTCCATATTTCTCGTAGCATATTTGCTACATCATCAAGGGAGGCAGGCAAGGGATCATAATTTCTTAGTCGTCTACCCATATTATCCCAATAATGCTCAATGAGGTTAAGATCTATTGCAGGCCAGTCTAAAGTTTCAACACCCACCTCATACTCTTGCACTATATGAGCGGTGTGAGGTCTTGCGTTATCCTGCTTCAGTAAAAAATTATTACCGATGTACGGGGCGAAAGGGACAACATGCTCAGATAAAATGTCCTGGATATACCGTACACTATTCATGGTACCTCCACGAACAATGACAAGTACTGTGCGAGCTGTCAAGGAAATTCCTCCCCAAACCATTACAGAACCTCCATTAAAAAGCGTGGTTTCACGAATGTTACACTGTGGAAATCTCTCATTTGAACATCGGAGAACCTTACTCGCCGATCAGAGCGGAATAAACAAAACCTGGACTCGTCTGTAAATAGTACACGCTGCCAATCCTCAATATTCCAGCCAACATGTTGTCTGGCAAATTGCAGTCTTGCTCTACGATGATTTGCATTTAACTTCTGTCCTGTTGCTGGAATTCTGAAGGTAAAATTATGTTCTGCAAGACGTCTTCTTACGGTGGACACACTAATTTAAAAATTATGAGTAGCATTAAGTTGTACCTGTAGATTTCTTGCTGTTACAAATCGTTTTCTAAAAGCATGCAAATAAAGGAAACGATCATGTACGGCTGTAACAACAGTTGTCATTCGATGCCTTCCCTGCCCATCACGTCTGTTATGATCGTTGGTTTCTTCAAAACCTAGCTCGGCCAATGTAATAATTCTTACACGATTCAAATTTCTCACTTGGCGCTCCATTACCATAATTTTATGCAGACAACTTAAATAAAAATGACCTACCTATGTTAAGTTCTTTAATTTTACATTAAACTGGAGTTATTTAGTCTTTAACCGTATCTCTTTTAGAAAAAGATATAGCGACGTGAATCAAAAAACAAAATGTTAAGAAAATATAGTTTAATTATATGAGTCATATGTTGTTAAAGCTGGTACAACCCACAGAGCGTTTCAAATTTCCGGGAAAAAACTTATTATCACTCGTGCACCCTGTATATACTCAAAATGTAAATTTAAAAAAATATTTCATTAAACGCATTATTACCGAAGAATAAACCTACAATTTAATACAAAAATCACCAAATTTGGTTTGACCACGGCGTTCTCTAACCAGGCGGGAGTGTAGCCCCCACTCCTGCATCGAAACTGTGACGTCAGGAGGCCGATCTGATCAACGTCCGCCTATTGTATTACATTGCTTTGCAACCAAAGTTATGGATTATTATTGCTCTTAAGGAGTATTTCTTACCAAAGCAGTGGACAATGCATAGTACATATTTTATCAAAGCAACAGAACAATATGTACTAAGTAATTTATTTAAAACAAACAGAACTGCACACAAAACATAATTCTTTAATTTTAAAATAACGATTTTTTTGGATTTTTATATTTAAAATAAGTATAGTCTAATTTTTATAATATGGAATATGAAATAATAATTTTGTTAAGTTTAATTTTATAAAAAAATTAGTTTAATTGATTTATTACTATTATGAATAATTACTCTAATTAAATTTTCTTGTATTTAAATATATAAATTATACTCTTTTAAATATTAAAGTTTACTTAATTAATATAGGTATTCATTTAAAAAAAACAAGTTTGCAACAAAACATAATAGATTTAATTTAAATAAAAAAGTAAACTTATATTTGATTTGAATTAAGAGTACCTACCTATAATATTTTTGTGTATATACTTATAACCATAAAAATGTTGGTTATTTAATGTAAATAATTATTTTTTGTGTATGCTCTTAAAATAGTAATTTATTTAAAACAAACATACAACTGATAATAAAAGTAATTTATTTAAAACAATCAAAACTTATTAAAATAAAAAATACAACGGTAAGCTACTGCAAAGTTTTTAGTTTCCGAGGCGCCTTTACATCTTGTTTTCTTGCAGCTATAACATTATTTCTCAGTTTTTTGTAATTAGATAGTAATACGTTACACATGACGCTAGTTATTTTCTCAAGTATTTCGGATAACGGCTTATTACATATGCATGTATCCTTGATTACTTGACGAATTTCCTCGTCCTGAGATACTTTAAGGTTTATCATATGTTTTAACAGTGCATAATGGTTTTCGGCAAGATTTACTAATGTCAAAGGGCCATTTGAAGCATGAAAAAGGGGCAAATCATAAAACTGTTTTTATAAAAAATATTGTAGGTAATATAGTATTTTGGCAAACAATTGTTAAATATATTCTTCTTTTATAAAAGTAGAGATAATTTTAATAATTGATAGTCGACAAAAGAATTTTTCTGCTGAATAAAAAGGGGACGGCAAAACTGTTCAAAAAAACCTCAGGCCGGCTTTGACAATCAGTAATTCATATGAAACTGTCTTGCATTACCTCGATAATACATTAATTTTCCTGTTAGGAACGCAACATTTTCTTGGTATTTTATATTTATTTATAATGTTATAAAAGCAGCAAACTAATGCAATAATTAAATTAACTTTAAATCAAGCGATATCAATGGAAAAGCAATAGATAATTTATATGAAATCGTCTTGTATTACTGCGATTATACATTAATTTGCCATTGCAGTCGGCCTCCTGACGTCACGCCTCCCACTACCACACTCTCGCCTGGGATAGAGAACGCCGTGGGTTTGACCACGGCGTTCTCTAACCAGGCGGGAGTGTAGCCCCCACTCCTGCATCGAAACTGTGACGTCAGGAGGCCGATAGAGATAGAGAACGCCGTGGTTTGACGGTTAGAGAAAAAATCAACTTTGAAATTGTAGCAAATTTTTAGTGGTGCGTTAAATTTGACGCTAAGTGTATTTGCAAAAATGGCGAATGCGTCGGGTATAAAAATACCAATTTTGCCCTTTATTAAATATGGTTGTAAAAATGGTAATTTCTTGTAAATTTACACAGGACAAGTTTGTAAATTTATTAATAAGAAACTAATAAAAAAATAAAGCACAGTTTAATTATTAAAATTTTGGGATTTATACAGTTTGTTAAGAAAATGGGGTCCTTTATAATATTTATTTAATAGGTTAATTTTTTTGTTTTTATATCCAAGTAAACGATACTTTATGGTAACAGACCTATAGTATTTTACGGGCTTGTATAAAAGACCTGTAAAGTTTTACAGGCTTGTAGAAAAGCAATTTATGAAATGAAATATCACATTTGACACATTCATTAAAATTTTAAATTTGAAAATCGTTACCTAAAGGTAAAAATAAAAGTTTGTACCTGTCACGCTTTGCAATTAATATTTACTAAGCTCACTGGGTTATGGGGTTCGCTCCTGCGTCGCTTACCCCACAAACTTCAAGCTCGCCCGTAAAGATTCATTTACAAAGCTTGACACGTAAATAACTATTATCTGATCTGTTTAGTTACATTTTGTATAAATATGTGTACGCCATATTTTTCATAGTTTTAAATTTAAAACAAAAGTAACATATTGATATTTATTTATACTTAATTGTGAAGTTATTTAATGATACGTAGGTATTAAGTTTATACGAGGGTTGCCTTTTATATTTCGGGAATGGCCGAACCTGCTGATGCTATCGGACAACAAATGTCTGTATCGTTAAGTTCGACCTTTTAGACGGTGTTCTTACTTAAAACGTTTTGACGAGCGGGCGCAATTAGTATCACTTGAAAAATTAATGTAGGCCATAAAAATGGAATTGGCCCGTCAACATTTTCGTGTTATAATTTTTACAACTTTAAACGTGGATTATCGTAAGTAATATCATAAGGGCATTTAATTTTTCCGAAAAGAATCGAAAAAACACGTTGCTAAGTAATATTTTAA